TCCTAGTTTCAAAAAGTCACTTGTGTCTCTAATGACAAATATGGATCGACGGACATTCCCCAAACTATGACCCTGGTCCTTGGAGGGAGTTGAACCTTTCCAGAACAGGTTGACAATCACTTTTCTAAAAAAAAAAAAAAAAAAATGAACCACCTGCTAACAGTAGTTCTGGATTAAGTTGACCAAATTAAGTCTTGGTTTATTGGTCCTCATCCATACTGTAGCAAGGCATTATCTAATATTTCCATTGTCTTGCTTGGATTTAATAAGAGAAACAGCGCTGGATATGGAGATGACACCCACTCTAAATCTGCAGATGGCCTCAGACAAACTGCATATGAAGCAAGCTAAGTCTCTTTTTGGGCTGCAGCTGAGATAACACAGAGTCATGCAGAGATTCCCTCCAGCACCACCTTCTGAAAACAGCTTTCCTGGCAGGAATGGAACCACCATAAATCAGTGCCATCAGTACCCAAATTGAACAGTCTCTCCAGAAGGATAGGCTACCTGAGGGCAGAGAAAGATGCTGAAGGATCAGTACTCTTACTGTCTCACTCTCTGCAAAGATCATGCCAAAGAGGGATGAAGGAAGCTGTTCCAAAACCAAGCCTAAACTCTAACTGAAATATACCTAGAGAATAAGTTTAACCCACAAGTACCTAGACTTGGTTAACAACCATTCATCTTGTTTAGGAAAAACCTGTTCATACCAACAAGCTAAGCAAATAAAAGCAGATTTTATTTACAGTATTTTATCACACAAAAGCAAAAAATTATCCATCATCATGATAAAATATCATGATAATGATACCACATTAACAAGTGGTGTGAACAGGAAAGCAAAAGAAAACCTCATGTTATCTATGACATGTTATTTCATGCCCATAATGCCAAGGGATCACCTAGGAGTTGCCATTTATACACTTTCCCCATTACTGTTTCAGAAAAATTATCTATTGTATAATATTAGCATTCTTATAACATCATTTCTCATTTCCACTTTTCTTATTGACTCCTTTTGGCCCATTTTTGTGGTCTTTTTTCTATTAAAAAGTGTAAGTGTAAGCATGTTGACATAATTCAAAATGCTTATTTGATACCCTGAGCATTTGGGAATCCAAATCTACATTAACTAAAGTCAAAAATCTAACATGCAGTCACTTGCTAAGGCAATGGTTAGCAATTTTTTGGACTTCAGGATCAAATTGCAAAACAAGAAGTACACAGGGGAGGAATTATACTCTCCTCTCCATTCCCTAGATTGTCAAGCAGATGGATAAGGCCTACAGTGGAAATATAATACTTGAATACAGTTGCATTCCTGCTGAAGGCTTTCCTGACAGAGTTCAAGGTGTGGCAACAGGTTAAATTTATGAACACCAGGACCCAGACACCTTAATCCAAGTACTAACCAATGTCCAATCCAAATTCCAAGGCAATAGGAGATAAGCACAAATCAGGAGTCAAGAGCCAGAAAGTCCACACAAGGAAAGGATACCTTTGCAGCAGGAGCAAGGGCCAGAGGCAGGGACACAGCCAAAGACTTACCGCAGAAACCAGGAGCAGGTGTTGGTCCAATCTGCAGGGTTTGTAGCCAAAGTTTCATGTAGCAACACAAGACACCACAAGAAGTCAGGAAACCTTCTTTGTTAAAAGAGCTTCTAGAGGCAAGAGCCAGTTCTTATATAGCTTGTCCCTCAGGACTCCCAGGTGATGCTCGTAAGGGCCCTGATAACTGCAGCAGGCTGTGGGTCCAATCCAGGAACTACCAGGGCTGTTATTCTGGCCTTTGGCCAGAAGATGGAGCCCTGAAGCTGCCACAAATTCTGGCATTTCCCACTAGCACGGCCTGTTACAGCCCTGGTAATGCATCTGTCCGTGTCTGAAACTTTAGTGACAGGAACTTTGTGCAGGCACCTGAACCATTTCTGTGTTCTTCTGATATGGAAACCTCATGTCTTATCTATTCAGTTCCACACACTACTTCCCACAAAGGTTCCACCACCCTATTATTCTGAGAAATGGACCTCAGACTTTTCTAGCATCCAAGGAGATTCTAAGAAGCGGTTCCAAAGATGTTCCACCAACCTTCCTTCTCCAAGAGAAGGCAATACCTGCAGGAAAAGGTGCCTGGCCCTTTAACAGCCAGATATAACACTTAAATGGATGGAGTTTACAGAAATGATATTTTAGTGTGGCTATCAGAGTCTGCCAGTTACTTGTAGAAACTGCTGAAACAATTTGTTAGGGTTTTGCTTATAAGTTCTAGAGTGGTTGATACAGATATTTATACTAATCCCAGTTACAGATGTGACCTAGTCATATTGATCAAATTTTGTGTCCTCACCTTAGCCATTTCTTAGGGGTGGATTACAGATTCCCTGATGAGCATGACAATGGAGAGGGGTAAGGCTGGGCAACATATTCCTGCTTGTTTCAAATGTGTAACTTCTGAGAGACTGGACAGGGTCATACATGTGCACACATACGCAGAGCATTGCCACCATTCTCCCTCTTGCACACACAGCTTTTCCTCTGATCTAAGCATATCATTGAGAAGGGTATTTCTCTGCTTCCTTCACCACTGCTTAGCAGCAAAAAGTCATTAAGTCCAACCAGCTTTTGAACAGAAATAAAAGCCTTTTCCTTCCAGGGAAAAGGCCTGGCAAAGAAGCTGACGGGAGGGAGGGGAGTCCCTGCAGGCAGTAGGCACACAGAATGGGGGTTCTTTATGCCTAAGCTAAGGAAATGCAAAATATAAAGATTTAAAGAATATTAAGATACTCTTAATATTAAAATATTAAGATCTAAAGAATATTAGAGACCTGTTGGTTCTGTCCTTTTTCAGATCTAGGCCACTGGAACCACATTTTGAAGTGGGGGTGGGGGTCTAGGTTTTTCCTTAACTTGTGTTATGTAAATTTCTCTCCAGTTTTCTTCCCTTATATGATATCCAGTGAGCTGCAACCATTTCCCACATTGTTACAGCAACACTATAGTTGTAATTCTATTACTTGTCAAGAATTCACATGAATTAGCTGTGTTCTGGCTAAACCACAACTTGAGAGTAAGTTAGGTTGTCCATTATTCTTTCTCCCCCTGCTAATCTATTTGCCAAAACTTAATGGCAAACTCTTTTTTGTGGCACCCCTAGGAATGTAAATGCTAGGCTCATTCTTCCCCTAGGACATCCTATAAGCACAACTGCTTTGTCACAGATTTATTTTCCCATTACCTACTCCTTGTGAGCTATGGAAGTGTAAGTGGCAAATAAATCATCTTTGACACAGCAATCATATTAATACACTCTGAAGACTATGACCTAGTAAATGCAGAAGGCAAAGCTGAGTGCTTCTCTGGCCCCATGTTCTTTATGACTAGAAAATTCAGGGAGAGCAGTTGGTTCTTGTAGATATTCTCCCTGGTATGTCTTGACTCACTGATAGATACATCTTCTTGGAAGTTCAGAACTGGAAGTGAATAGATGTTGTTTGGATATCTTTATCTTGTCATGATGCACTTGATCACTTTCAATACTGACATTGAAATGGTCGGCCATTGTAAGATTTGGTACCACAAAATGACTTCCAGACATCTTTCCAACTATGTCAGCTGCAGCATCACCATCAAGTTCAATATGTAATCATCAGGCCACAATAGTATGTAAATAACTGATGAGATTAATGAAATATTTGTTGAATCCTTTGAGCATTAGTTTAACTTGTGCTCCTCCACCACAACTCTACTAGAGCGGTCATATGTCCTATTTTACAGAGCACAGTTCTCTATTTGAAGGGTTGTCCATGGACAGCCCTCAGTTTGAAAACATCTGCTATTTGAAGCATTGTCTAATACAAGTCTAATTTAAAGGTAAAGAACCCCAAGACAGGAGACCAGGGTCCTGAAGTTGTCCATCAACAGTTGGCACCTGTACCACAAACTGAACATGCAGAACACATGATCAGTTTTCCTCTCTATGGTTGATACATTGTATTTCTACCCAGTCATGATTTCTAAATGTGCATCCAGATACTAATCATCTACTAATTTGTATCATTTTTCTTGGTGATATAAGTGCAATCCAGAGCAATCACTATGCAGAGATCCTGAGAGAGAGAAAAGGGGCATTCTCAACCCTCCAGAAACATCCAGGAAACAGGGCTGGCTCCAGGATTCAGAGGGGTTCTGGGAAATGTTCTTTCATAGGCTCTGCTGGGGATGCTGGGCATTGTTGGCATGTAACAGTGTGTCCAAGGCAGTGATAAGTAACTGGGAGCTGCCATTTTAATTTCCAAAAATGCCTCAAAGAGGAATGAAAAATAAAATGGCAGTAAGCTGCCAGGTGCTACCTGGAGGTTCAAGCATGTTTTTAACCATGCCTTTTCAATAGCACATCTGGAATAACTTAATGCACACTTTTTTGTTAATGCTGTTTGCTCCTCCCAGTCATCTTGGCTTTGCATGGGTTAAGATTATGCTTTCTGAAAGTGGTGGGCCACTCTGAGGGTTTTGTTTCCTCCTTGAAAAGCAGGATATAAAAGCAGCATCCACAGTTAGCCCTGATAAAAGCACATCCATTGAAATGAATGAAGTTTATGTCGGTCATGACTAACTCAAGTCCCATTCATTTCAATGGATGTGCTTTAATCAGGGCTAAAGGCTGCAACTCCTTACCTGAGAGTAAATCAGCAGATTTAATTCTGCACAGGCACGCATGAGGGTGTTAAACGATTAAAACAATCCGCCCTAGTGACTGCGTTTTGGTGAGTTGGCACTTATTCCAGGTCATCTGCTATGAAATAAAGGGAAACATACAGTGTGAGTATACAGGGCTCTTGGCTAGAAATAACCTGCACAAGGAGACCACGACGTGTGAATCAACTCTGTCTGGATCGCGTGCATCTGAGTAAAAAGGCGGGGGGAGGTGAGCGCCTCTTGTGCCTTCGCTGCGGCGGGATTTCTTCCGTGTAAGAAAATCGGAGCCGCGACCCCGGTGGGTGGAAAAAGGCGCCTCCCGGAATCTACGGGCTCCCTCGCCCTACTCTGCCGCTGGTTCGGCTGCGGCACCTCGACCGGCTGCTTCAGAGGTAGCGGCCCCTGCAGGCTGACCAGGAGGGAAGGAGGGAGGGGGCGGCGGCGCCGGGGGAAGGCGCTTGGCTTCCGGGCGCCGCGGCCCGGCCCGGGTGGGTGTCGGACTCTGTCAGTGCCACGGTGTCTCCTGCTGCAGGAGAGGGAGCGACGGCGGAGCGAAGCCTGCCAGCCTGACCCGCTTCGGAAGCTACGCCGAGCTGACCCGAGCTGATCCCCGCGGCCAGGTCCCCCGCATGCAGCCCTCACCCTGGAGCGGAGGCGGCGGATCGAGGAGCTCTCAAGATCCTCCCGGCAGCGACTGCTCCAGTCCAGGGACAGGATGTTCTCCAAGTTCACTTCCATCCTGCAGCATGCCGTGGAGGCGGTAAGGCCACCGGCGGCGCCCGCCACGCAAGGCCGGGGATCCCTTCGGGCCTACACTGGGGGAAGCACTTTTCGAGGCCCTCTCTCGATCTTTCCCTCTTGTTCCACCGGTTCCGTCTCTCTTACCGTCCTCTCCCCCGATAGCCTATTGTTCACTTCCTCCAGGGGTCCCTAACTCGAACGGGGAAAGGTTTCTAGACTGCCAGGAGCGTGACAAGCTCCTCAAAACGTCTTTATGCGCCCCTCTCCTTCGAGTTTCAGGTTGGGCAGGGTTACGTGGCTCTGTTCTACTTGTTTGTGAAAGATAAATATTTTTTTCTCACGTTGCTAGGAAGGTTTACAAAAAGAATAAAAATGTTTAAAATGTAAACACAAAAAGTTAATCAAGGGGAAAGCCACAAAATTGTGTGTGTGGCGGGGAGGGGTCATAGAATAGTCAGTGGGATTAAAATTGTGTCTAAGAAGCTCCGGAAAATAAAAGGGCATGGTACCCAAAGATCAATACAGGTAAATCTCATTGGCAAACGGCTCCATCTTGCTCCATGAAAGCTGCCTAAAGACAACATTTGGGGCCGTGCTGGTGTGGTATGTGAACCTTCAGAGCAATTTCTTGAGAGGGAGGCTGCCCAGAGTGGGGAAGCCTCCTCTGCTGAAAAGAGGCAGCTTTGAAAGGACAAATCAAGCCTGTTGGAAGCCTCCCCAATGCACTTTCGAAGGCATCCATATTCAGCTAAGAAGCTGCCCAGCCTCCCTTCTGAGCAGGGGGAGCTTTGAAGGAGCAGACAGGGCGGTCAGCAGCCTTCCAGCATAGAAACATTGCAGTCTGGTAGTGACTGGAGCTGTGCTGGGCCCTTCCTGCATATCAAGTGTAGAAATAAAACCAGCTGGCTGCAGAGGCATAGGACAGTTCATCCCTCTGCTACAGAAGTCTGCCAGGCTTGGAGACTGGATGCACAGGAGGTGAAACCTTTCCTTAACAATTCAAACATAGGAGCCAAACAGACTGGAGGAGGGGTCAAGCAATGTGTGTTAGCCTGCTTTTTACTGATGTGAAGTTGCTCCTAGCTATCTTCTGTAGCCCTTTGACTAAAGAGCAGACAATTAGAAAAGTTGCAGACTGGTAACTTCCAGTGCTGTCCTGCACTGCAGTCATATGCCCATATAATGCTGATTAAGTTCCTTCAGAGCCAGTGAGACTTACTTCTGAGTGAACATGCATAAGACTTTCTTAACGAAGGGTAAAAACTAGTGTTGACCAGTTGCAGGAAGGTGACCACTGGAAGTTTGTGATGTGTGTTCAAGGACCTGATGTGGGGGGGGGCGGGGTACACAGGACCATTCTCATACATTGGAAGAACACTGGAGAGGGTTATGCATGCTACTGCTGGTGTTCCAGAGTCGTATATCTTTCCAAAGATACAAGTGCTTCCTTTGTGCTTCACTGGCTGGGCTGTGCACACATATTGATGTATATACGCAGAGCCGCTTCTTAGATGCAGGGACCTTGATTGGGCATGCACTATCTTTATGTGGTTTAAACATATACATGAACATACATTTTGAGCCCTTGGCCACACTAACCAAACATGTAGATGATGGGGAAGTGTTTCTGCTGCAGTGGGCTACCCTCTGCAGCCCCTCTCCTGGATTTTTTCAATGTTTGTGGGTGTCAGGTACTTTTGAACTGTTCAGCTAGCTTAAGGAAGATGCATGCTTTATGTTTTGTGAAATGTGTGACTCAGTGAAGCTTTGGAGTTGGTTTAGGTGATATAATTTTCAGTCATTTTTGTGTGGGAGCTTGGAAGTGCTCCAGACTTAACAAGGGATCACCAAAATTGAATAAATGTATTCTCTGAACCCTGCCCTATTATGTACTTGTAAACCTAATTAACACTCCTCTTGCCCCCACTGCCACATCTTTATGTTTCCTAGATTTACTTGGTAGCTGGGTAGATTCTGCTATGCCTGTCCCTCTCTCCGACTTGTGGAATTCTGCAGTCATGTTTCGGGTGCAAGGAGCATGGGGAAATGTGGTTCTGTTGGGTTTGGGACACAGACATTTGGGAGAAGGATGTTTCCCAGTGCTTCTGTCACTTGGCATACTGCTATTGTACTGGGAAGCTGAACAGAGAAAACCTGATGCTACTTCTGCCCAACCTAGGCTTCCAGTTAAGTTTGGGAAGAGAGATGGAGCAAGAGAAGAATGGACAGGCAGTGATGAGTTGAGGCAGGACCTCAATTTTGAACCCAACCCAAAGTTTGCTTGGTATTGAAGTGAAGCATTTCAATATAGGAATTTAAATTCTGAACTCTTTTCCATCACTAATTAGAACTAGTTGTCTCTTAATATTAACAAGTATTTATGATCTCTAATATTTGATGTTTAAGGGCTAAGATGACATTTCTTTTATCTGTTGGTAGTACAGTATGGCAATTGTGCCAGTTAGATGGAGAGGTCTATATAATCTGTCAGAAAGCTGCTTTTTAAACTTGTTTTGTGGTGTTTGGTTCTAATGAAACAAGCCTTTTGAGTTGCTTCATATACCAACACATTTCTGCTCTTGGGGCAAAAGTTAAATTACAGTTACTCTTTTACCTTGCACAAGGTAGCCAGGTAGTTACAGCTGATTGTATGACCTGTGGCTGAGAATTCCAAAGGTTGATTATACAGTTGTGCAAAGTAGGACTTGTCTCTGAAGAGTTGCATTGCCCTTTAATTTGCTTTAACATCTTTATGTGTAAGCATAATGGCATGCCTTGAAAATAAAACCTCTGAAACTTCCTTTTGTTTTTGACAACTTTAAATACCTCGAATAATACAAAATAGTCTTGTGCTATGCCAGCAGTATCTTTATAGAGAAGCTTTTTATTTAATAAAGTTATATAATCTTACTTCAAAATTTTGCCATGTTATTTTATTTTGTAAGCACCAGAGTTCTCTGTTCTCCTAATACAGACATCCAGGGGACTGCTTCATATACTATATTTTTCAGGTGTATTTATAAGATGTTTTCATCTCCACTTGAAAACATAAAGATTACAATCATGCATATTGTATAAATACATCTGGTTGGAGTGTTGGAATTGGCTGCAGCTCTGCTTTGAGTACAAAATTGTTTATCAGTCTGAGCAACTACATTGCTTTCTAATGTTTAATTAATTTATATTATGCAGAAGTCTGAAATATCATTCACATGTCATTCCACATGAAGTACAATTGCTAAATATTAAATAAAATAATTCTCTGTTCATTTCACTGGTTAGGATGCAGTGTATTAGTGCTTCCAACATATATAATTCTTTAGACAGTCCCTGCTAAAATAACAATACAGCTCAAAAACATATAGTGGTACAGTGTCCAGTAATACTGTTTTTGTTGGTCATATATGTTAGGTAGGTGTGTGTTGGTGTGTGTGTGTAAAAAGTGAGCCTCAAAGTTCTCCTGAGAGCATGGCAAGAAATGTCAAAGATCTGTACAGCTTTGATAACATTGTGCACTTTTATCACTGTCTTCTAAAAAGTCATGTCTTTATCCCTGGTACTGTCTGACCCCTGTTATGAGTTAAAATCTAATAAGGGATGAACATGAAGTATGCCTGCTACTCGGCCCTGATATGTGAGTGAACCACTACTGTAGTAAATATAATTCAGTGTCATAAATTTTGTATGTTGTTGTTCATTGCTGACATTTTCTTGCTAGGAGTGCAGAAGGATTGCTGGTGTCTAATGGTGTTGATTAAGAATAATCAATACTGGATGTTGTGTTCCCAGCAATGGAACATATTTAAAAGCACTCTTTGCTTGATGCATTGCATATTGTGTTTCTTCTTGATTCCACAGTGTCTAGACAGCTGTAGGTTGTTTTGGATTCCCAGCTACAAGGTTGGAAAATGGCTCTGACCTTATAGTTGTGGATCTGCACTTGGATCCTCCCTCTTTGCAACTGGTACAGAAACAACTGCACCAGCTGCTTCTCTGAAAAGCAAAGAGCTACCTAAGAGAGTGCTTTATGGAGTGATCCAAGTGGAGAAGGAGACTCCAGCCAAGAACTGGTGTTTTCTTTTAACTCCGTTCTAGAGCATGGCAGATTTTAGCACATGGTATAAAGCATATGTCACATTTATTAGAAACGCCAGCTTGTTTGCTGTAACATCAGAACATAAATCATGCTTTCATTATTTTTGCTTTTTAAATAATGAAAAAATGGATTAGAAATATGCTTGTCATTACTTGTAATATTAATAAGGGAAGTTCTTGGCCATTAAGCCTTTTTAAAAAATCAAGATTGCCATGTTTAGTGGAAAAATTATTATATTTAGATTTTTTTACTTGAATAATAGAATGCTTACTGAGAAGTAAGTTCCATTGTGCTCAGTCTCACTTTTACGATTACTCTTACACTATATATGTAATTACAGTCTAAAATAGGTGCAGCATGATTTTTTAAAAATCAATTATTCCATTATAAGGATATACAAAAACTATTGGTGGCAGTATCTTAGAGGTATCCCCCTCCACAAGATGTCTCTTTTCTGCATTATCTAAAAACAAATATGCTCATTTCAGTGTATTTTTATGCACATGTAAATCATACAGAGTTAATCAATTAAGGGGGCAATCTTGTGCATGCTGACTTGGGAATACTGGGAGCTGCAGTACTTTTCTCTGTCTACATATGCATAGTCTTGTGCCTCAAAGTTCATACAACTGAAAAAGATCTTTAACCAGTGGACATCCCTAATAATCATGATTACTAATGTTGGTGACTCTTGTTGATCTGATATCTTTTGAACATGTGTCACTACATCCCAGCAGACATCTGTGGAAGAGATCTTTTACTCAGAAACATTACTTGCTACCCTGCTTAGGGATCTCTTTATTGGCAAGGGTGCTTTTATTTTGCTTGTTGGAGACCCCATACCTACAAGGGAAACATTTAGTTGGGGTGTCTATGTAGAGAATGCAGAAATACTTTTCCAAATTATTGGTGTGGGGGATGGTTGGATATAATGATCTTTCTAGTAGGGTGGCTGCCCATTATTTTCTGTTTTTTTCCTTTATTCATTGCTCCTGCAACCTGTATTCTGACAAAGAGATATATCTTGGTTTCAGACACTTAAGGATTGATTTACCCCTATTAAAGATTCTGTTTTAAAAGAAATTTTTACTTTTGATGGCTGTTGAAAGTAAATAAACTGGTAAATGTGGTGGACTGCATTTTCCAATATCCTAAGTACCTAGGGGCCTAGGAAAGGATAGAAAAACTGGACAAGACTGAAATTTTAGATCCAAATGAAAATCTAGAGGATCTCACTGCAAAAGGAGTAATTTATTTAGCAACCACTTTCACAAGGAAAGACCTTCTCGTGACTTTGCTTTCAAGTGAAAAGGCTGTCAAGTGAAAGCAGAGTAACATATTTCTAGCCTGGCTTTGTTTATGTCCATGAATGGAGCCTGTTTTTAATCAGTCACTTAACCAGCATGTTGTCCAGGTAAGGCGTCAAAATTTCAGGTAGTTGGAGTTACATACTTTGCAGCTTTGCATTATCAATCAGAAAACAAAAACCTTTTACCCTGAAAACATAGTGCACATTTCTGGCACATTTTTTAAAATGTGACAAATCCAGTGGCAACTTGTCCAGTGTGCCACTTGGACATTTTGGAGATGTTGTCATAGGCTGTCACTTTGGAGATCACAAAAATTGATCTCTGGGAGGAAAAGGAAATAAGGGGGGAAAGCTATGGTGACCAGAAAAGGAGTTGTGATTGTGGGGATGAAGGGAAAACAAGCCAGTGATGATCACTTCAAAGTGCCATTTGGGAACTTTTTGGAGTGGCTGCCATTTACAACAACCCATTTCAGTTCATCGGGAGACCAATTTTTGCCACTTCTGCCAATCAATTTGTTCATTGCTTTCCTGAACCCACAGTGGAATTAGTATGCTGTGTTTGGACAAAGCACCTACCCATTGTGCATCCAACAACTCCTAGAATAAGCCATGGGTTGGCTAAATGACTTGGGAAAAACAGGCCACCCCACAGGAAGCCGCTTGGGTTTGCATTACACAAGAATTCACCATGGCTATTTACCCATGATGGGTCTTGCAAACCTAGTTATTCTGTCAAATAATCCTTGTAAAGACCAAGATCAGAGGCTGTGCCCTCTGTATGCACAGAGCTGCTACTGGCTGTGACAGAAATAACATATTCAGAAAAAAATGATCTTCCATTAACCTCAGCCAGGAAGTTTCCCTTGCACACACACACACACACCTGTTAACAAGATCAGGGGAAGTCTTCATTATATGTTAAATATTTTTGTACTCTGGGACACTTACCTTTGAAAGCATTAAATTATCTTGTAACTTTTCCTACTGTCCCAAACTTGGAAAATATCTTGAGTCTGTTTCCCTGTATCTTTTCTTTAGCTTGCACCATCCCTTCCATTGCAAGAAGACTTTGTTTACCACTGGAAGGCAATTACCCATTACTACATAGAGACATCAGGTAAGAGAAAGTTCTTTGCCTTTTCGTTATTGAGGTATGCAGCAAGGAATACTTTTTCAGTTAAAGTGGTGATCTGAGAAATAATAAAATTAAGGAGGATATAGTTGGTGGGCCTTGTTCATTACATGGCAGGTACTTTCAAAATTCATTACTTGTGGTAGCACAGAGATGTGAAGTCTTTAGGTGTCGTAATTTTTGCTATGACCTTGTTCCTCTTTGCATTTCAATGACAGTTATTTGTAGACAGTTGCGTAAGAGGGAATAGCAGACTTGTCACAAGATTATTTATATGCTTTCAACATGATAGTAAAAATTGCTTCTACATTTATCATGTAAAATTACATCACCTTTGCTTTCAGTTTGCTGGAACTAATAAATGCTATATTAATGTGTTACATTAATTTATACCAATATATGATTAAATTTATTTGTGATTTCATATAAATATTGTACTGAGATTTGAAATCAAAATGCTTGTACAAATGTAAACAATGTGTTGGAAGCATGTGTTCAGCAATGTTGGCTCCAGCTTTGAGTGAATTTGCACAAAACACTTTTAATGAACCCTTCCCCCGTGCCCCCCCCCATTAGTGACTCTACCTTCTTACCATCAATGTCATCTGTTGCTATTTCTCTGCTTGCTATTTTTCATCATTGCTTGTGTAATAGGCAGTTAAATAGTAGATATGACTGACTCCTCCACCTTACCACTACTGTTGTCTGGGTAAGAGTGAGAAGCAGATGAACAAGAAGCTGCAATTGTAAGATGAGCAAGTCAGTGGGTTATTGTAAGGTGTGGGCCCCATGGCAGGAGACCAGCCATCCCTACTTTGACACTGGCTGTGATACACATCTGAAATTCTTAAGCATTTTGTGCCATCCATATAATTAGAGTAGCTCAGACATAGTTTCTGTCCCATTTGGAAATTTACAGTCCTAGCAAATTCTCTAAAATATACTGTAGAGACACTGCAAGGTTATCCCCACTCATTTTACTATGAAGGGCAGCTCCACATGCGCACATGTATTTCAGAGCTTAACTGAGTAACAGGTATTTCCTTCCAAAAAATGTTTTAAACAACCAAATAAAATGTATTGGATTTAAAATGGTAAGGGATTTTAAACTGAGAATAGAGACTGCATTTTGATTTGAAACTGTTCCTGTAGATGACAAAGCTCCGGTGACCGATACCAATATTCCATCCCACCTGGAGCAGATGTTGGATATTTTAGTTCAGGAAGAAAAGGAATTTGGGGAAACGGGGCCTTGCATGGAATATCTGCTACATCACAAGATCTTGGAAACTTTGTACACCCTGGGCAAAGCTGATGTAAGTATATTGGATTGTGTTAAAGAAAGCTCAGATGGGATATAAAGGTACATACTTCATTTATATATTCTTTCAGTACGTGGAGTTTTCAGTTTTATATTTTCTTTATCCAACTGAGAATGAAATATTGTTATGTTAGAAGTGGTAAATTGAAGAAGAAATGCTAAATGGAAGAATATATAGACTTAACAGGAATGGATTCAATAGAAATGGAACCCCAAATTTAGTTGAAAGTACAGATGTATTGAAAGATGGATTGCAAATGACTTTTTGTGCTCTCCCATGTTGCTTGCCCCTCCACATTCATTAATGTGTCCATGTACTAACTTTTCAGTATTAACTGACATCAGTATAAACTACCTCCATAAGCTTATGAATGAAGAGGCTTGTTGAATATTGTATGAATAAGTATATAATCATTCAAAGCACATTATGTTTTAAACAGTTACCAAGATCAGTGTCAATTCATCAGCTTTGTAACTTTTGGTACAACTAAGGCAACCATATAAAACAACAATTCATGCCAAAGCACAAACCTTTCGGAATCTCAGCCTACATTTGAAATGCAGAAAATTGTCTTTTAGCACAGGGGCCAAATCCAAGATGGTCATGGGGACGGGGGGTGCCTGAGGTAAAAAGGCTGAGGCCAAAATAACTGCATATTTTAACTTAAAGCTCCTGCATTAACTTACTAATACTTATGCCTTAGGAGAGGCATTTCTAACTTTTAGAACAGAGGAAAAATTAATGAGAGAAATTTTCCAAGCAATCATGGTTGATGCTTTTCTGGGGTCTCCTGTAGGTCACAAAGATCTGGCTTTCTCAACTGATTTGTACGTTTAAACATTAGGCTAGTGTAATTTTGTGGCCACTAGACAACATCTCAATGATCACAAGGGTCAAAGACCCAGCTACAAGACTGAACATTGTTCTGACCTTGCAGTTGGGTCTCAGAGCTCTCTCCCATCACAGCCAGCACAGAAAGAACCATGCTGGCAGCTTCTCTGTGATTGCAAAACTGATAATTTGGGGGGCATCGTATGGAGTGTCACAGTCCAGGACGTGGGTAGCTGGAATCAAGACAGAGGCACTGGGACCAGGGCAAGAGAATCTGAGGCATGACAAGAGTCCAAACACGATACAAAGTCCAGTAGTGAAGTTAAATACAGGGTTATTCTGAAGAAATAAGTCAGCAACAAAAAGTTCATATTCGAGCAAGACAAAGACATGGTCATGGCCTATTCAGGTGTCTATGCATTTTGCAGGATGGGAGGTGTGGAGACTGCAATTTCATTGGGTTATGGGCATCCTGATTGGATTGTATCCTTTCTGATTTAATGTTTCAAAGCTTTCTTGTGCTTTTGTCTATCATTTTTAATATTCTTTTTATTTAATGTTTGTTCTTTCTGTTTCCTAGTGTCCCCCAGGGATGAAACAGCAGGTTTTATCTTTTCATACAAAACTTCTCGGATTAATACAACAGCCTCTTCTCCCACACATAAATGTGCACAGACCTGTACAGGTACTGAATCTGTTTAAAAGAAATACATTATTAATTGGTTCTCCTTAAATATTGGGTATAGTGTTTCAGTTTTTCTGTTGAAGAACTTTGACAGCTAAATTCTATAATATATCCAGTAGTCAAGATTTTTATTGGGTTTTTATGTAGCTGCTTGATGATGATGATGATGATGATGATGATGATGATTTCTTTGACAGAAATTGATCAGGCTTTGTGGTGAAGTCCTGGCAACACCAACAGAAAATGAAGAAATCCAGTTTCTTTGCACAGTGTGTGCAAAGCTGAAACAAGATCCACATTTGGTTAACTTCTTCCTTGAGGTGGGTAGATCCCATAACTTGGCAACTGGGTATTAGTTACTGAAAAAGCATCCTAAGAACTATATAGCAGATTTGTCCTTTTAAGAACTTGATTTCACCCCAGGGCATAAAGGTTCTTTTCCTAGGTTCATCTGGATGCCACCGTAGATCTTATACGGTTTGAGCACTGCTCCTGAACAGAAGAACTCAAAGGTAGTGTTTGCACTTCTGATTTGTCTTTGTTCTCATTCATTTTCCCCGGTGAAAACCAAAAAAGGAGTTATGTTGCTTGAAAGGCCATTTAAACGCAGGCTCATTTTCTCAGTTTTATAATACGTAGTTTATAGGGACTGTACATCTTCTGAGTAGAAACATGCCACAGAATCTGACATGCTTGTTTCTATGCCATCTCTGTACACATTGATGGAGGCCTTGAAGGTTGTTCCCTGGGTCTCCCTGAATCTTCAGCCGCCAAAGGATGTAATCGTCCACCATGCTTAATTGGTTTGAGAACTGCTTGGAAAAATGGGTTGAACACCAGTACCTGTTGCTGCTTTGGACAGTTCTGGGGAAAGTAGCTACCAGGCATTTGAAGATACACTGTATCAAACGAAGCATGTATCGCTTGAGATTATGATAGCCTTGGCTCTCCAGAGCCTCACTGCAAATCTCCCGCCAGCCTCTGTGATAGCCCACATGAGCACTTGCTATACAGTCAGCAGCTGTAAAAGGAATAGAATTCTGGGTCATTGTCCTTTGTTACAAGAGAACTGCAAAACAATCTACACAGAATTTTTGGTTCAATTTTACTTTCTTCCTAAAACAATTTTCAGCCACAGAAACAGATGTTTGCAGTAACATGAGAATACTTGCTCTGAGGAGAAAGTTCTTTGTTTTCTTGCCACCAGATGCTGTGCATATCACCATGCATCTTACTGAAATGTAATTTAAATATATAGTTTGAATATCTAGCTGTCTAACATATGCAGTATCACTTTAAAAAGAAGCCAGAGAAATTACAGTTGAGTGGTAGAAAATATTATGTTGGGAGAAGGCATACAAAGTTCTGGCTTGTACAAAGCTATTCTGCAGAGGTCTAGTATTCATAAACTGATCACTGGCATTATAGGATTAGTTTACACAGGAGATTGTGGGTCCTTAAGTGTAGCTTTAGCAGTGCTTTTGTACAGCCTCCAGGTGTAGTGGGAAGCTCTCACTTCCTCTTCAAAGTGAAATAGCTTTTGACTTTTTTCCTGTGTGGGGGTGCTTTTGGGGAGCGGGTTGAGGAAGGGTATGCCCAGTCTTTGGAAGAATCTGAAGACATACTGTTTGAACTCTGTGAGACACTTCCCTTGTGGATCTCAGTAATAAATTCCAGTTTTGTGCACACAAGGAAATGGCAAGTAGAGTCTTCAGATATTTGTACACTGAAACATATCAGAAGCAGGGCTATGGAAAAGAATTTGGGAGCGCAAATGACATTTGCTGCAGTATGCATTTTGTCATCTGAATAACATGGGATTTTTTTTCTAGAGAAAATTTGCTAGGGTGATTTTTAGAATCTATATAAGGAAGTCTGTATCAATGAACCTCAATTCTATAGTTGGAATAAATTACACAAAATGTTTCCATACTCAGTTTTGCACATTTCTTCCAAGATTAAAGTCTGAGGCCTTATTTTCAACTTTGATAGAAGGAAAGAAAGACATAGAACTGAATTAATTATAAGGACATAAGAAAAGCTGGCTCAGACCAAAGGGTTCTTGTCAAGTTCCCAACCAGATGCCAATGGGAAGCCCGCAGAATCTGTAATGATCAGAGGAACAGGACATGTTACATGGGGAGAAGGCTTGAAGTTGTAGTCCTGTTCACACTTACCAAGAAGTAAGTCTTTCTGAACTCAGTGATGCTTACTTCTGAATTGATATCTAAAGGACTACACTGTTTTGGTAACTGGAAGCAACTTCTAGCCTTCTGCTAGCTCTTGAGCCCTCACCAGATATTCTTTGAATAATTTCAAGTTCCTTCTCTATAACCAGGCTAGAAACCAGGCTAGTTTTTAAATAAGAGCTGCAGTTATCAGGATGCTGACTTTCATCTCAGAAAACAATTTTTTGCTTTTGTGGTGATACTACAGAAGCAGGGAATACATAAAACATTGCTGTATTTCTCACTGTATTGCTTTCTCTTATATACTAAGTAAACATATATTCATTCATTTGTTAATAGCGTTTTGATCTTGCTCTTAGTCAAAAGACTTGAGCAGAGGCATATAAGAATCAACAATTAGTTTGTGCTCTTGAGCTCACAATATTAAAAAGAAAGAGACAAGGAAAGGGATTGGGAAGGTGGCAGAAGTATGATGTTGATGCATAATTCAGTTGTCTTGATGGAAATGTATCAGTTGATCTCAGGCTTGTACTGCATCTGTTGGGCTCCCCTGTTTTGTTTTCTTCTCTTTTGACGTTTCTTTTCTTTTGACTTCAAATTTGATCTGTTTCTTCTTCTGTTCCCTCAGGGAAAGATGTTTGCTCAGATACTCTTCTGGTGGCAGTTGGGCGAGGGAGGGGCTGTATTTACTTTTCCCATCTCCTCATATCAAGACCCTTATGCCTCTTTATCTTGTGAATCATCCTTTTCCAATTTTGTTGTTCTTAATACAGTTTGAAGTGAAAATTCATAATCCATAGATCCTGAAAGAACTCCTGGGGTATTTTAGTGTTGGTACCATAAAAAGATTTCACTTGGGGGAATGTAATTTAATCTGAACCCAAGGAGTTGCTTTCCACATATCATTTGTTGCTGAACTGAACTGGGTTTCTTTTCTGTTAAGTTCAGCAAACTGTTGCTTGATTTTGTTCTCCTCAGTGGTCTGGTAGTGAAGTCCCTTGGTGGTGGTGATGTTGAATCAGAAAACATAGAGCCTATTTCATTAAACTTTCCTATTAGGTGGTTCAAGACCCTGTCCTGCACACTTCCAGGAGGCAGGTGAGCAGGTGCGCTTCAGAACTGCATGAACAGAAAAATGAATCTTAACCATCTTCATGAGTATGATGCATAAATGGTCTTTTTGTTGTTGTTGACTTCCATTAACCCTGTAATTCGAGGAGCAGATTCCAGTTGACAACCACCAACTGCTCTTAACTTAACAATGTAAGAATGCTGGATGAAACCAAGAATCTACCTAATCTTGGGTTTTTCTCACCCAGTCGTCAGCCAGCTGCCCACAGGTGGCCCAGTAGCAGGGCATGAGGACAACAGAACCTTCATGTTTATGTTGCCAAGCATCTAGTGTACATAGGCATCCCACTCTAGTACTGGAGGTAGCATATAGTTACCATGACTAGCAACCATTGACACTTTTCTCCATGAATATATTCACTCCTGATTTAAAGCTGACCAAGTTAGTGGCCATCACTACATCTCATAGAAGTGAATTCCATACCTTAACTGTGCATCATGTATCTACCCTGAATCTCTCACTAGTCAGCTTCATGGGACGACCCCAAGTTCTAGAATTATAAAATGTTTTGCTTACCACTTTTTTTTGACAGCATGCATTATTTTGTACACCGCTATCATGTCTCCACTTGCTTGTCCCAGATGTTACATCTCCTCATGGAGGACTTGCTCTAGCCCTTTGGTCATTTTTGTTTCCCTTTTCTGAACATTTTCCAAAAGTACAATATCGTTTTTTTAGGTGCATTGACCAGGATTGTGCACAGTATTCTAAGTGTAGTTGCACCATGGATTTTTATAGGGGAAGTATGAGACTTTTTCACTAATTCAGGAGAGGAGACAGCTTGGAGCTGGGTGAACTATCATATGTGATAGAGTTATGTGTATCTTACTTAAACTAGGACTTGAACTCAATATATATTCATACACCAGGAATCCATGACTTGAGGACACACTGCACTGGCACACTAATGCTATACACACAGGAAGTGGCACAGTTTGAATTTACACCAGATGTGCCTAACTCCACATGGATACATAGCTTTTACACAGTCAAATTGAACAAATTGGCTCTTCTACCCAGTCCTGAGTGGAACAAAATTGAATCCATTTGGAAAGCCCTGTGGTATTTTTTAGGGTAGCTATAGGAGTTGCAGAGATTTTGCATATTCCTACTTGTCTCCTCTTTTTCTTCCCCCACTGTTTAAATTGGGATTCACACTATTATGTTATTATAATACTAGTATTACTTAAAAGGCATGAGTTTATTTTCTGTGATGCATGCAGTATTGCATGTTCTTCCAGCAACTTCCAGGAAGAAAGCTAAGTCTGTCTATAGATCATTGCTCAAGAATAGAATCTTAGACCGGGAAGGGGCCATGCAGGCCATTGAATCCAACCCTCTGCTTAGCACAGGAATTCAGTTTAAAGCATCCCTATAGAAATGTGCACGATTGGTGTGTGTGCAAGCTTATTTAATGGAGAAGTGTTATCTTACTGAGTGTAAAATGATACAGCATGAGATCCATTAACCTCCTCTTCATGGATGATGAACTGTGTATGCAAACTTTGTTATGGTAAATGCTAATGCTTTGAGTATGCATACTTGCTGGTAAATATGAAGGATTTATAAAATCTGAAACAATTCTATAGGTAGGAATATTCTTGAAGATGGTAAAACAAACTCACAGCCTCTAGTTATAGTGGCAGACACAGATTTTCTGGGAATAACTCCTGGTTCTCAAAATACCTTTTGTTTTCTTAGAGGTCTGCAGCTTAGAAATATGATTAGATTAGAATCTGAAGCTGTGTTTCCAGTGCTTGAGAGATAAAGTGGATTGGGGTCCTGACCTAAAAATCACATTTTCTGTTCAATGTGTTGATGTCAAAAGGTTGCCTCAATATAGTAAATGTAGCATTTCTACTGAAGATTGAACAAATCAAATGGCATCCACTTCCTTTGATGGCTTGATAGAATAAGGAAAGGCTATTTCTTTGTGTACCTATTGGGCTGACTGATGCAAAGTCTGGTTTAAAAGGTGGAAGTTGAGGAAGGGCTTCAGCCTGTGGATAGTTTATGTTCATTTGATTCTTTCTGGACAGCTTGTATTGCTGTTAATTCTGCCTGCATTCAGTACTTCAACTTTCCCTTTACTGGTGAAATCAAGGGACTTGATCTGTAATATGTAGAATTACAAATCTAGACTTGACACTGTTGCATTCATAAGCTTGGACTACATAGAAAGATGGTATGTGTAGAGTTACCACTTATGGTAGATTTGTGGGGTATACATTAAATTGTTAAAGTATTCACATGTCTGTTTTTCTCATTTGGCATGTGCATTGAACCATTGTAGCACCTGCATCTAACCTTATTGTTGAAAAATGTTTGAGTGAAAAGCGAGGAGCAGAAGTAGTAAGCTGCTAGGGATAAAACATTATATAATTTTTAATAGAGTATATAATATACGCATTTCAAATAATCACAAAATAACAACTGAAAAAATCCAGTCCAAAATACATAGAAAGACTGCTTGATGTGTAAAGACTCTTCTAGTCTAGAAAAGATATACAAACACAATAAACTCCTGGATGTTCTCAGTACAGGCTGAGGCAACTTATTCCTTAAAGATTCTGATGTATGTTCTGCAGTTAAAAGGTCTCAAGCCCAGAGCTTTCTTATGGGACCACATTCAGACATTCAGTCCTATACATTTCAGGGACTGAAGTTAAGAGCCTCCAGAGTCAGCATCTCCAACACCACACTTGACTCTTGCTTCTTCTGTTTCTTGGTGCATTTTGGATAATTGCATTTGTATTTCTGCCTTCATTAGGAAGTGTTCATTTTGCTGTATTTCTGCTTTTATGTAAACACCATTTTTATCTTTGTAATTTTCTCTCTGGATTGAATGCTTTTCAGAACAAGCTAAAAGCGCTGGCTTCAAAAGGTGCATCAAGCTTAGTTGCGGAAGACATGCTGAAAGGCCAAGGTTCTGTGGTAACAGATACAGGACAATCTGTTCCGCCTGAAGAAGCATCCAGTGGAGCAGAGGAAGCAGAGAGGGTGAATGACGATCCTCAGCTGGCAGATGACCTGTCCTTAAGTCTAGATGAATTAACTGTTCCTTCACCCCCTGAGGCTTTGGCTGCTTGTCCACATGGAGACTATAATTTGGTGAATTCTCTGCTCAATCTCACCAAAAGCCCAGTGAGTGACTGTCAGACTCTTAGATTTTAATAGGTGTCCTGAATAAATTGGGGAGGAAGCCTGAAGGGGCTTTTTTTCTTGCTTGCTTAGTGCTAATGGGAAAAATCAGTTCCGGGAATGCCAGGAAATGCCTGTAAACACATTACAAGCTGCATGTACCCCAAACACTTCTTAAAGTGAATACTTGTTGAATAATATTGGTTTAAATGTGGTGACCGTGCTTTTATTTGCTTCTGACATCTGTGCAATAAAAGCAACCTGCAGGTTGTGTAAAAGCAACCTGCTTTGGGGAAACACTTCTTCACTTGTATCTTCTTTACTTTTAATGTCTTTTCCTCTACTCCCTGATTAAGTATTTCAGACATTGGTTGAAGATATTTGGCCAGTTTACATGATGAAAATAAACCATCATAGTTGATTTAAATCACAGTGTGTTTGGGATATGAGTTCCATAATCATTATTAGGGTGCAGCTTGTCTTGTTATTTGCACCCAGGAAGTATGGTGCCTTATAAAGGGCAATGACCCTTGGGTTGCTGGAGATAGCTTATTTTGACTGTAGAAATCAGATCAGAATTTTTCATTGCTAATTCCAAATATGCGGAAACATTTGAATCTCATTGATTTTGTGGGCTGAGCTTTCAGAGAAGCTGTTGTGTGAAGTATGGTTAATTTGGGGCATTGGTTTGGTTGCTGAACTGTTGTCATTTATCCTCACTGTTATGATGGCTGCAGATATATTTTTAACCAAATCCTACAGGCAGTTTATAATTTACAATTATTGGATTAAATTTTTATTATTTTATCAAATTTTCATTCACAAAATATTACAGGATTAATTTATAAGAAGCTTTAATCTTAGAAGTAAATTTTGATGTTATCGTTTTTCATCCAAGATTTTGGATAGCTTTTCTAAGGGGACAAAATTTTCAATAAGACAATCTGTGCTAAATTACAGTGTTCTCCTCTTTGATTCATGCTGTTAATTGCTTAGTGTTACTCTAATGAATAAGTCCTAAAATAAAGAAAGTATACTGGCTGTGTTTGCATAGCATGCTAAAGCAAGGGTTAACATAGTTCACATGAGCATTCATTCCATTTTTAAATAGTATTTTTATAGTATTTCTATACTGCCCAATAACCAACACTCTCTGGGTGGGCTAATGTTAAATTACCTTATCATGTTACAACATCTTATTTAAGAACATTTACATACAAAATATATGAACTATCTTAATAATCAACAGTAAGAAATTCCAGGACCTATCAAATGCCTAAAAGTTGAGGAAAAGTCTTAACCTGGTATTGAAAAGATGACAATGTTGATTCCATGTGGATCCCACTGAGATGGTCCTAATCCTTCCTCATCCTGAAGGGTGTCAGATGTGGGCTATTGTGATCTATTTTACTTCTTCCTTTTCTCTCCTGTGATAGGATGGCCGAATAGCAGTAAAAGCTTGTGAAGGCCTCATGCTTCTAGTGAGTCTGCCTGAGCCAGCTGCTGCTAAATGTTTAACACAGAGTACATGCCTATGTGAACTGCTGACAGACAGACTGGCCTCTCTCTACAAAGCCCTTCCTCAATCAATGGATCCTTTGGATATTGAAACAGTTGAAGGAGTCAACTGGGGGTGAGACTATTGTCCTTGTTTGTTTTTAAGTTACATTTTATACCTTGTGCATATTACATGAGGCATTTCTCAAGCGTACTGTGATTAATATTGGTATGCCACCCATTACTCAAAGTGGATTATGTCTGAGGTGACTCTCAACAAATAAAAACATTCAAGCATCAATGAAGTATGAGCATTAACTAAATGCTTAGCTGGAAATGTTACTTTTGTTTATGTTGCTTATGTGTTTTCTCCCCCCCCCCCCACCCTTCACTTCAGCTTGGATGCCTATAGCCTCAAAGAAGATGCAACTGCTTTTCCAGGGAAAAGAGCCCTGATTTCATTTCTGTCCTGGTTTGATTACTGTGATCAGTTGATTAAGGAAGCTCACAAGGTTTGAAATGCATCCCTTAACTATCATCTGTGTACAATCCAAAACAAGTTTAGAAACTCTATTTTCCACATTGGGAAGCCAAAATGTTGTGTCCTCTGTATTTCAGACAACAGCTGCTGCTATGGCAAGCTCAGTGAGAGAACGCTTTTTTGTTGGTGTAATGGAACCCCAGCTAATGCAAACGTGAGTAATCTTTTTCCATTTAAAACCAAGCTTGGTTATCTCCCACTTAAAATGGAGGAAATTCTTCTATGTCATTTCTTAAAATAAATTTTCTTGTGATCAGTTCAGAGATTGGGATTCTTACATCAACTGCCCTGTTGCATCGTATTGTACGTCAAGTTACTTCAGATGCCTTAGTGCATGAAATGGTTTCTTTTATCCTTGGAGAGCAGAGGGAGCCAGAAAACCTGGCAGACATCAACAGGCACCCTTTACGACATCGCTTAATCGAGCACTGTGATCACATTTCAGATGAGGTAAGAAATTATAATGCAGAACATACACAACAGTGTTTGCCAAAATGTCAAGACTGGTATGATCACACTTGTAAACAACTGACTTTGGATTGCTACTAATAAGTAGGTCCTTCAGATACTGAACAATATACAAAAATACCTGTGTGTTAGTAGTTTGTGTTCAGACATCCAATGTCCATAAATAAAATATGTTGATACTCCTGGATTCTATATTAAGGTCGGATTGCTACAACTTCCACTGGTCCTCTGTTTCTAGTGAACTTGAGGATCTATTTTGAGGGAAAGAAATCCACTGAACATAGTGCTGAAGTACAAATATGTGGAAGTCCTGGGTTCAGTGTTTATCTTAACCATAGGGAAATATCTTCCTTATGAGAAAAAGTTACAATATCTGGAACTGTTTCAATTACAAAAAGGGTGAGTAAAGTGAGGTATGATAGAGGTGTCCAGGAATACAGGTGTAGAAAAACTGGATTGGGAGTCATTTTGTTCTCTCTCCTATAATACTGGAATGCTGGGTGGTCTCATGAAGCTGATTGTGGAAGATGCAGGAAAAATATAAGTAAAAATGTCTTCACACTAGGGAATTCACTGCCAGTGATGGCCACCAATTTGGATGGCTTTAAAGGAAGAATAGACAACTCAGGACACCATGTGACCAGTTTTTTCTCCTGATTCTGGTCCTCAGTTGGGTGAACCACCGCACAGACTTGTGGTCCACTTCTGGCTGAGACCAAAGGCTGAAACCATAAAAACCTAGTAACTGTTTCAGAGAGCTTGAAGAAGAAGGGTGGAATAACAGGAAGAAATCACTAACAGGACCTCCAGAAGGATTAGTCTAGGATCAAGGAGAGAACATGCTGGGACTGGCCAGGCAAGGCTAAGATCTCCGCTTCCACCTTTGTGGACAGCAGGCCTGCAACTAATTTATCACTTAGCTTCTGCGTTTTAATGAGTGTCATGCCTTGTTCCCAGTCTTCAGACATCTGTAATGAGGACAGCCATGTCCTCTATGAGATTCTAAATTCTTATTATTCTAATTATTCCTTATTGCAAGTCACTGTCTCCTGGTCTGTTACAGTTCTTGTGTGAGTGAACACAGAATAAAGTAAAGCACTATAGACATCATCAATCATTATTTTGCTATCCATTAGTTAACTACAATGAAGTCTTCTTGGATGTAGGACTCCAGGGTACTGTTTTATTATCTTTTATAGTAATCAAACATGTTCATTTCTCGCTGTAGGAATTCTGTTGTGATTAGACTTCGCCCCAAGCTTATGCAATGGCTGTTTGACAAACCAAAGTCTCTTTTTTCCAAGTATTGATTGTAGTGAGTAAGTATAAAGCATGTATAGCTCAGGGTTGAATCTTCTGCCTGTTACTCTCACAGTCGCCAATAGTTAATAGCACAGAGAAGAAACATGAAAAAAGAGCATAAGATGCCTTAACAGATGGAGCAGTATAAAAATATGCACAGAATGTGTACTAGTTGTCTTCCTCGATGGCCAGATCACTGCAGTCTCTCTGTACATGGAGAGAAAATAGTGTGATCTGGCCATTAATGAAGAGACCCAGCCTCTTCCTGCATTGTCAGATCAGACCACCTTTCTTGGATGGAGGGGAAACTCTTAATAAGGTTTCAGCAATAAGGTTAATGGAGGTTTCAGCTCTAAATATCTTTTTTTTTTCCTTTTCATACTGCAGATCAGCATAATGACACTCAGAATGTTTGAGCACCTTTTGCAAAAGCCTGATGAACACATTCTTTATAACTTGGTTCTTAGAAATTTAGAGGAAAGGAACTATACAGAATATAAACCACCCTGCCAAGAAGATAAAGATGTGGTGGAGAATGGCCAGATAGCAGGAGCTGTGTATGTTCTTTTTTGTGTTATTTTTGCTTCCTCTATGTCTTTGATGAGTTCTGCAGTTGCTGGGATCTTTTTCAGCTGTCATTTACAGAAACAAGATTGCCTTTTAGCTTAAAGGGCTTTTGGGTTTAAAAATTGAATACATTATTTTGATACAAAATTACTGTTTTAGGCTTTATACTGTGTATAGAATTGTTACATAATCCAGCAGCATAGCAGTTTGTGATCATCTAAAAAGGGGAAGCAAGTTCTAAATGAATTACTGAGTTAAACTCTTTAGTTCTAAATTTTTCTGGGCCTGTGTGCATGCATTTGTATGTATTAGTATTGATAGTATTATAGCCCAGTTTTAGCCGAATGTTATATGTCCACATTTATAAGATATGCACATCAGCTCCTGTTTCACCTGTCTCTCGAGCTGTAATCCTAAATGTAGTTGCTCATGACTAAGCATGTGTAGAACCGCACTGGCAGTTTAACAGGAGTGACTTTCTTTGTGCTTCTGTTTGGTTCAAGGGGCCAAATAATTCCCTAATTTTTGCCAGGCTCAATTTTGTTTCTCTGTATTCCATCTGAGAACATAGGAAGTTGCTTTAGATGAAGTAAAGCTATTGGGTACATCAAGAGTAGCAGTTCTTCACATTTCAGATAGGAGTCTTTCTCTCGTAAACACACATTGGGGTATTTAAACTTGCCCCCTCCCTTTTCAATTAATCCACTTGTTTTGATTGAGGCAGGATTATGTTCTGCAAGCCATTTTGTCTTTGCTTTGTAATAGTGATGTTGGGCAAGAAGGAAAGCATTTGTTAATTAATTTATAGAGGGTTGCTATGAAAAACCTTAAAAATTCACTGCATTTGTGCACTGCCCAGTATTTTTACCAATGGAGCACACATTCTTAAGCCCTTTCAGACCAGGAGAATATATGTGTCCTTCTTTATCTGTCCATCAATGTTTAATTAACACAAATTTGTTTTAATGTTCACTAGTTCAAAGTAGTGCTAAAAGTAGAACTAAGTCATTTAAAGTGGAAAAGTAAGGCAAGAGCCAAATAATTGTGAAATCAAATTGACATGCCTAATGACACTGTGGGTTTTTGTTTCTCGATCCAAAATTCCCACAATACATGGCAAGCTATTTTTGAGGCATGCTTCACAAGTAATTTGTGATTTGACCAGAGAAGTTAGTCCTGGAACTGAAAGTACGGAAAGGCAAACTGGATAGATGCAGCTCCTAAAGTTGGTTGGCATTAGACCTAGATTAAATGTTTTACAGGAGAAAATGAGCAGTATTCAGTTAATTTTTTAAACTAGCCAAAATGTTTGTCCTTTTTCTGCTACAAATACACAGAGATCTGGAAGAAGATCCATTATTTACTGATCTTTCTCCTGATACCATGTTGTCAAACCAAGAGTGGCTTAGTGCTTCTCCACCTGCAAGCCCAGATCATCAAAAAAATGATGGGAAGACTGAAGTTCATAAAATTGTAAATAGGTAAGTTGAGTATTTTTTCCCAAAATAATTAGCATAATATTTTTTGTAATTTTTCTTTGTACTGGTTTAGCTGTGTATTCCTTCCTACCCACTGCCCCAAGCAAACAAGACTGTAAGGCTGATGCCAGTTTTAAATAGTAGGCAGCAAGTGTGCTGAGCATTTCCATTTCCTGTGAGTAGGAACCAGAAGGCCTTGTGGGGAGTATATAACCTTCATTTCCTGATGAATATTGAGACCAGCATCTTGTGGTATCATTGTCTGTTTTGTGGTAGGTGGATGTGAGGAACAGAGAGAACAAGAACAAGGGATGGAAATTTTGTAAAGTGGAGGGAAGCAAGTTCACAATGATAAGATGTAATTCTGCATAGAAGAAATTCCTTTTTCAGATCAGCTCTGGATGTATTATTCCTAATATTGATTCTATGGGAAATGTTTGACCTAGTGCGCTAAAACTGTTTTCACATACTAAAACACATTCCTTCATTCATGATGGATGTTTTTGCATGTTGCTTTAAACTATCCTGTGAATAAGCCATTGTGGGTTGGTTGTTCTCCCTCCTCAGTCCTCCAACCAGCTTTGGCATGTATCCTGCTATCCTTTGCAGCAGAACTTGTCTCATCCTTTCTGATCTTTAGCCTATTTGTTTGCTACTTTAACATGTTTGTGTTCATAGCCTCATAACAGCACACTTGGGGTCAGTTTTTAATTGATCTTTATAAGTTGCTTACAAGGGTACTTGTGTGCACTTACAACAAACCAAGAGGAATCATCTTGTCTGGTCAATTCCTGGTTGGTTTCAGTTGTTGGTTCCTTTGTGCAGGTATGGAGAAAGCAGGTGTACCAAAACAGGGTGGTAGCAATATCATCCACCTAACAATGTAATCCTGTATTTTAATTATCATTTGACAATTCTCAGTGCCAACACTTCCTTAAACAGTGAATATGTAAATACACCAATTTATGGACTAGAAAGTACACCAATTTATGGACTAGAAGGGGAAATTTATGGCTCTACAGTAGTTACTCCAAAAATTAGAGGGAATTAAATCTTTTTTCCTTCTTGGTCACTATGCATCACACATGGGGGCTCTATCAGGAAGATTTCCAAGCTAGACTTGTTCGGGTGGGAACCCCTCCTCTCCCTGGTATATGTAGGAGACATTCCTGCCTTTTCCTCCAGTTCTCTTCTGACTGTCATTGTGGGTGCCTTGGGAATTCCCTCTTCAGTATTTACCTTTCAACACGTTCTCCATTTTCTGAAAGTACTTCTCCTTTCATCCCACTTTTAACGCTAATTTACACCTTCTTAAAAATATTTTTTTAACCCTCCTACCACGTTTCTGAACTTCTCATGTTTCTCTAACTCCTATTCTTCTTTTTCTGATGGCACTCAAGGTACCATTTCAAAAGTGCTTTTGTTGTGGAAGCCATTTTCCTCCCATAGATGGACAGTCACTGTTCCTCTTCTGTCTGGGAGAAGGGAACCTTGTGGAAGCCTGCCTGCACTATCAGGCTTTTACAAAGTAGTCTAAAAAAAGCAGGCTGGGTGTCTTCAGGGTGATCCTTGGAACTATACCCTTCAGGTGGGTGATTCGACCTTGGCAGCACCATTGGACTGCTCATCTACCTCCAAGGGCATGCCATTTCATGCTCACCATCCAGAAATGCCTTCTCCCATGTTGTCCATCCTGTCTACCTGCAGGCACTCAGATGAGGCCTGCCTGACTCAGAAGATGACCAAAAAGATGGGATACTTGGGAAGTCAAACATAAGAAGAGGCCCAGACACCATTCCCCGTTGGCACAGTGTTCACCTTTACTAGGACTGGTGCTGACACCACCATGATGGAACTGGTTTTGGTCCCATCATTTTCAAGGAGAGAGATCTGGGACTCACCACCCCACACAACAACTCAGCCTCCTCCTTTAGTTTCCCCAGCTAGAACTCTGTTTTCTTCCCACCAGCACTGCTTGCCATCTCCTCACTAGGGTGCTGCTCTTCCCCCATGCAGAGTGGCTGGCCATTCACTGGAACCCTCTCACCTCTGACCATTGGCCACATGATCACGCAAGGTCCCCATTGCCTGCTTGGCACTGAGAGACAGCATGGATGCCCTGACCTTACTATCAGCAGTATTGAGAGGAGAGTGGGGTAAAGGACCCATGAATGTAGCTGGCCCTAATAAGTGACTGTTGGAAGGCCCTAGGCTATTGACCAGGGAAATGGAGCAGGGTGTCAGCGTCTCATCCTCCTCCACCACCTTGCCTACCTGCTTTACCATTGAAGCAGACCACCCTGTTCTTCGTTGTGGCCTCTGTGCATCACACATATGGGTACAGCGCCTGTGCAGTGCCTGTGGCCGGAAGATTGCCAGCTAACTAATTCCAAGTCAGTTCTACACAATGACTTCCTCATCAGACCCCTGTGATCATGGCACAGGGGTCAGGATCTGCCCCTGAAAACCTGGGGTGCTTCTCTGAACAGGTTATTCAGATGGTGATATGCCTGGTACTGGAGATGGAGTAACATGCAGAGAATTCACAGATCTAGTCTTTGATACCATCCAAATGGAGGATGTGGTGCCCACACTGTTCTTGCCCACACTGCTCAATTGCATGAAGAAGCAGTGGAGGACAGTGGCACAGCTGCAGTCAACATCCAAATGCTTGAAGGGAAAGTACCAGGTCCAGGAGCAGGAGATTGTATTCTTGCTGTCATCCATGGCTGAATTTGGTGATCATGAAGTTAATGCAGGGTCATTCACATAGGGAGCATTTGACACTGGTGCACAGGGAGGAGTGCCACCTGGAGTCATTTGTGAGGCAGGTCTACAAGTCGGTAGCACTGAGCCTTCATATTTCCAACTATGAAACCACCATGTCCCACTACCAAGCCCTAGCACAGCATCTCCAAGTGGAATGGCAGGACCTGCTCAGTTGGAGGAAATAGCCAGCAGCTGACAACCTAGACATGATGAAGGGATGCCACTCCCCAGTTTCAACAGCAAACGAGGAGGCTGGGTACCAACAAGAAGTAGCATTGACTAGTGCAGCAGACCAGTTTCCTCACTACAGATCTGGTTTGAGAGACACCTGGCCACTTAGCTTCCACTTGGGAAGCAATAACATCAGATAAGTGGGTCCCTTCCATCATAGAGAATGGATATCATATTTAATTTGAGACTACTACCTTTTGGTTCTGTGTGCTTGACACCATTGTCTCCTGTCTTGGTGGAAGAGGTAGCCATGTTGCTGAGAAAAGGGACAATCCAACCTGTGTCTCTGATATCTGATATGGTTTTTATTCACAGTACTTTATGGTACTGAAGAAGGACAGCAGCCACCATCCCATCCTCAATGTATGAGAAGACAACTTATTTATTCCACTGAAAATATTCTGCATGATCTAATTACAGAAGCGTTTACCATTATTACACCAGGGAGACTGGTTTGCCTTGCTCAACTTAAAAGACACATACATTCATGTAACCAATTATCAGGCAAACCTGCATTTTTCCCGATTCCAAATCAGCTCTAATGCTTATCAATTTGGTTCTCCCATTTGGTCTATGTACAGCCCCTTGGGATCTCACCAAGTGTATGGCCACTGTCTGTGCTTGTTTTGGGTTGCAAGGGGTTCAGGTTTTCCTGTGCTTGGATGACTGGCTGCTGGTTGCCCCATCCCAAGATGAACTTTTGGACTCAGTCTGTGTTATATGTGGCCTTCTACAGACACTCAGGCTTTGCTTTAACAGTGCAAAATCTTATCCTTCTCCTTCCCAGTCAATCATCTATATCAGGCTGAGACTCAGCGTGTTCATAGCACAAGCATACCCCAAACCAACAGAGTGAAGGTCCTGGTTGATTTGTACTTGCAGGTCTGAGATAACACCAAAATGATGGTAAGGCGGGTGCAGCATCTCCTTGGCCTTATGGCAGCAATAGTTACAGGTGTTCAGTTTACCAGATTACAGATGCGATCACTTCAACTCTGGTTTGTCTGTGCTTATCAGCCCCAGTGCGACTTGATCCAGAAGTGCCTGGTCATCCTGCACTTGGATTGGTTGAGCCTGGTTTGGAGGCTGCTGATTGCCCCTCCTAAGTTGATCCAACCTGGCAGAGGGAGTCAGTGTCACACTGCAGGAACCAGACATTACTCTGACTACGGATGCTTCATGCCTGGGATAGAGAGTGCCCTGTGGTACCAGCGAGACTCGTGGGCTCTGGACATCTTGAGACAGGAGGGATCACATGAACATCCTTGAGCACCTCATGATCCAGAAGGTGCTGGATGCTTTTCAGCTGCGCCTCTGGAGTAGAAATGTTCAGGTGATCACAGACAACACCACTGTGGTTTTCTGCTTAAACAAGCAGGGAGGCACTCAGTCCGCGCTGCTGGTATGTCTTACCATTCAGATATGGGACTGGTGTATCAGGGGCATTACTCTAGTTACTATCCACCTAGTTGGGGCTGTCAACCTTACAGCAGACACACTGAGCAGGAGGACCAGGGAGCAGGGCACAAATGGGAGTTGGACTCCGATATTATCAAGGAGCTCTTCCAGACCTGAGGCATACCCTCAGTTGATGTCTTTGCCACTCAGTGTAACGCTGGCTTTTGCTTCCGGGCCAGCATGGGCCTGGGCTAAATGGGAGATGTGTTCTTCTCTAATGGAGCAGGAACCTGCTTTATCTGTTTCCCATGATCTCGTTTAAAACCACAGTGCTGGCAAAATCTGGAGGGATGGGCCCTTGTGCATCCTAATCACCCTGTGTTCATCCTGGCAGATGTGGTTTGCACATACCCTTCACCTGTCCAGGAATTACATACAGCTTCCACTGAGACCGGACATTAGCGCTTGCGACCAAGGAATGATCATACACCCAAATATCAGCACCTTTTGTCTCACAACTTGGAGGATTGACTGGTAAATCAGGAGGCCCCTCTCTGTCCCAAGATACAGGTGTTCCTAGATACAGCCCTGTGGCTGGCCACAAGCCACTGCTACACAGCTAAATGGAAGAGCTTTACCACCTTTGCCCAGCAGGAAGCCTTTCATCTGTACCAGGTGTTCATAACCAAATCCTTGGCTTCTTCCATAAACTACACACTAGAGAGCTGAAACTATCCTCTGTGAAATTTATCTGGTAATGACATCTTCGTTCCACTCATTGATCAATGGCTCCCTCCTCCCCATCTGTTGTCCTGTAGCCCAAACTTTGCCTCGCAACTTACTCATTCATCCCCTTGAAGCCAACCTTTAGCATCTGGCCACGGTGGACTTACATCTTCTTTCTTGGAGGGTGGCCTTTCCTGTGGCAGTCACAGTGAGATGAATGGGTGAACTTTGCACCTTGCATATCAATCAACCTTAACTCACTGATTACAAGGCACTTGGTACCTGCATGCAAATTAATCTGTATATAGACTTGCCTGATGTCAGTTAGCTGTAAATGTGTGCTTGTTTACCTGTGAAGGTCCAGCAAAAAATGTGCAAGTATCAGGAGACGAAGAGGCTTCGGCAAGGGGCGGCATAGAAATGTAATAATAATAATAATAATAATAATAATAATAATAATAATAAAAATATGATGCCACTTGCAGTTTTTTGAGGTTCCACGGGAGAAATACATGGCTGAAGAATGAGTCACAGTCTTTCCAAAATGCTGTTTTGACATTAGTGGAAGAGCAGTCACTGGCAAAATTGCAGAAGTGAGCAGAAGGCTTTATAGCCCTTTCCAGCAATCCACAATAAAATTGCTCTGTTGGGTTTGGATGACACAACAATCCATCATGGACTGAGCAACCCCTAGAACAGGTCATGTGTTATCAGATTGTCTTGTTAATGAAAAATAACCCACTGTGCAAAACTGCACTGAGTTTGCATGACATGACAACCCACCGTGGCTGAATTGTTATATGAATATTTGGATTTAATTATGAAATAACAATCCACTTTAAAGGCTGAAAAAATGGTTCCTTGGTGTTTAGAACTGTACCTCTGAATTGTACATAAAAAACTGAAAAAGCTTAAAGTGAAACATCCAAGAGAAAAGGAACACCACTAGGTGGGAGTATTTTTCCTATATTGTGGTTAATAAGAAAAATCATTTCAAATTTCTTTTGAATATTATACAAAGTTCTTTTGTTTGTTGTACAGCGAGAACGAGAAAAGGATTGGTTGCAAGACTATACTCACATATTTTGTGCAAAGTCAAAAGCATAGGCTTTCAACTAGAAGGCTGGACTTGAGAGTGTGCTGCTCCCCCCGCCCACACACACACACATACATACATTATCCTCTGGGCAGTGAATTCATATTTTAACTTAGAAAGTTGATTAGAAAATATTGGTAAATATTGTAACAACATTAGTTATTATGCTACATTTTCAGATAGGAGACTTTCTGCAATTGTAAACCAGATTAAAAATGAAATTTCAAACAAAGGTTAAAACAGATCAAAATTAAGCAAACACAATACCTTGATTTCTTTACACCTGTGTAGGAGCCAGAGGAAAATAATATTTTGGGGGATATGTAGGTGATTGAGTGAAATACTATAGAAGGGGTGTATAGCAATATGTGGCAAAGAAATGTTTATTTCTATTTATATGAACATTTTCGTCCTAAAAATATCCACAAAGTGGTTTACTGGGGGGGGGGGGCGTGTACAATCAGACCAGTTTAAATATAACAAAGCCAAAAATGTAAGAAAACAATCAAGACCTTATGGGGAAGACAAAAGTTTTATACTGGACTAAAGCTAGGCGGAATGAGAAGGTCTTCATTTTTCACCTAAAACTTAAAAGAAAAGCTGAACCTTTTTGGAAGGGAGTCCCAAAAACTGGTGCTTCAGTAGAAAAGGCCCTATCTCTCAGTCATGCCTCTAAGAATTAGGGAACATAAAGCACAGCTGCTGGTATTGAATTCAGTGGTCTGGCCAGGTGCTTCGCAAGGAGACAGTTCTTCTAGCTCTGAATAACAGCCTTTTAAAAATTCAGCTTTCAAGCTTCCAGATGCATATTCAATTGTGTAGACTAGATGAACTGGCAGTCAGAAGGGTTTTTTTTTTTTTTTAAAGAAAAATCCATGTACACAAGAAATGATCACAGTGCTTCCTTTTGCAAAAATCAGATTTCAGACAGTAACAGAAATGGTAGGCTAGATACCAGGTATCTGTAGAAGTTTCAGTCCTGGACCAGCAGCTGCTTCTTATGCTTATTTAATAAGCATTTATTAATTTATTAATTAAATTTATTTATTTCCTGTGTTTTGTAGCTTTCTGTCAACACAAACTAATTTCAGCATTTCTTAAAATAACTAATTGGATTTCCTGAAACAACAAATTGCTATTGTAAAAGTTGTGCTAGAATTAACTCATTTTTGTAGATATAAAGTACCACACTTCTTGGGTCTTATATTTATGTCTCTCTGAATCTGAACAGATGCAGAGAAAATTAATAATGCAGGTCACAGTTTGTGTATTAGCTTGGTCCTCACTTAACATCCCCAAAGTATCAGTTGAGTGTGGCTTGCTGGTGAATTGTGTGTTCCTATGTGCAAACTCTGTCCAATGGTTTAACTGTGGGTTGTTAACCATGACAAACCCACAAAAGGAATCATGGTTTGTTGCTGATTTGTGAACTCTGGGCTAGTGTGGATTATTTTTAATCCCAATGTAAATCACATCAGGTTGCCCTGGCCACTATTATTACCAGCTACCCTATGGTTATTGTAATGATTTGTTCTTATTTTATAACTGTTCTATTTTAAAGATATTTATAAACAGTTTTTATTATCTTTATCTAAGAAACTGTTTATATCTTTAAATGAAAAATGGTATAGAGATTTTCTAAAATAACTTCACATGCAAGCAGGTATACTTTTTAACATATGGTTTGTACTGATTGATATAGCTTGGTGAAGATCTATATTGTCTAATTGCTGGGAGTTTGCATTAGTGTATCCTGTTTAATTTTTAGATATTGTGGTTATATTGATTCATTGTTTGAGTCAAAAGCTTAAGAAGCAGTTTTGAGCCACATTCACCTTGAAAGGCATGCAGACACTGCCAGACACTATAATACATACAGTGGTCCTAAATGTGTTTTGGAGCTTCAAGATTGTACTCAGTCTCAGGGCTTTGTACGCTTTCTGCCCATATCGCTTAATTCTATGACCAGAATTAGCTTTACTCATGAGATATGAGTCTGTAGTTACTGACATTTTTATTTTTACTTTTTTCCACATAGTGGAATCTTGGGGAAAAAAGGAATAGTAGATAGAGGGCAACAGGAAGCTAACAGATATGTTAATTCGTTTCCCTAGTCACATCACTTACAGAGCAATCCTCAGGGCCCCAGACACATATCATTTATTTTATTTATTTATTTATTAAAACATTTCTATTTATTAAAACATTTCTAAAACATATCATTTATATTTTCTTCACCCTCACAACCAGCATGGAAAGAACTGTACCCAGATGCTTTTCCTAGGTTGTAAGACAGACCTCAAAGAAGGGATAAAGGGCTATTCAGGAAATGGCTGTGTCCACCAGGGTACATTGTATCTCGTGATGATCCAACTTCCCTTTCACCCCTCAGAAGTGCTACAGCTAGGCAGCCAAAATCCTATCCTGACTTGTAGGAAGGGAGGAGTATAGAAGCTAAAATCACCTCTGTGCTCCTCCAACCCTGCATAGGTTGCCCATAATCCTCAGAAGTTCAGGTGCTTATATTCATCCCTATTATATTGCACCCTTAACTACCCATTGACCCCCTCAGGAAAAAATGAACTGGATAAAAGCAGTGGGGGTGGCACTGCTGCTTCAAAAGAACCAACTTCATTCTCCCTTTTGCTCTTGAGTAGAGCGCTATCACAGGATGTACCAAAGGATTACCACACTGTAGAGTAGGTCAAAAGATTAGCAGGAAGAATAAAAACAGAGAAAAGGGGCCCATGATAATGGATAGGGGTCCAGTCTTCCATTTTCCTAGAATTCTCCCAAAATCAAAGTGTAGACAAGAAGGCACATATCTACATGGGATAGCTTGTCATGCACCTTTTCTGCCTTTCAGGCAGTATGGAAATGACAAGCATGGTTGGAAATGGCACGGGGACAAGCTGTATTTAAGCCTGCAGTCAACTAGTTAAATATAACAGCTTAAAAATGCACTGTACATGTGGATAAATATTAACATGTGAAGTGGTAATTAAATGTGGATCTGTGATACTGTGAAGCTAATATGCCATCTGAAGCACACTGAAGTCAGTAATAAGGTAGTGTTCTCTTTCAGTGCAAAATATCAATATCCAGATTGACAGGAGTGCCTCAACTGATTTCCTCATCTGTCTTATTTATGCTGCAGTATCTGTAACCATGTATGCCAAGCAAGGGCTTAACAATATTTGACATAACCCCTGCTATAATAGTATGCACGCAAATCATATTGATTTGTTTCTTTTTTCAGTTTTCTCTGTCTTGTACCAGATGAAGCCAAATCTTCCTACCATGTGGAAGGCACAGGTTATGATACCTACCTCAGAGATGCCCATCGACAAGTAAGTAACAACAGAAAAATGCTTTTTAGGAACAAGCTTGTGGCCCCTAAACATTGAGGGACCATAGAATATTTCAGATTTCCTAATTTTTCAGCTGGGAACCTCAGTTCAGCCTTGTCACAGCCAACATGAAAAAACAGTAACAGCTGATCTCTGAGCTTGGGAAAGCAACCTCAGAGAAAGGGGAAAGGGGGTGCTTTGGTGAGAAGGGGAAGGAAGAAACTAGAGAGGCCAGGATCTGAGATAACCTGATGGTTTCCCACCCTCCTCCTCTTTCTTTCTGAAATGTCCCAGCTAGAGGGCAAAAAAGCCTGTCCAGGTAAAATGCAGGGTGGGAGGATGGGGAGGTGAAGATTACCTCTGCCTTCTAAACTGTCTAGGGTTCCCATAAGCTCTGAATGTAGAGGCTCATGGGCATCACAGTAGGATTGTGCCCACAGTGGCCAATGCAGTGGACTGCAAGAAATGACAGCAAAGATATTTTTGTGTTTGCTTAAACTAATATGCTTTGTGCTGAAATAGTATCACTGGATCTGCACTATATAAGGAAACAAAAATTTTGTGCAGCTCCTCCCTTTTGTGTGCAGCTGTTTACAAACATACTGTTTGTGTTCTGAGCAGAAGTTTGTTATCCTCCAGATGTTTTGGTCTGTTAAATCCCAGCCAGCATTACCACTGGTCCGGGATTATGGGAATTCTCATGCAAAACATCTGGAAGGTGCCAAGCTCTCTACCCCTATTCTGAAATCGCATCTCAGTTCTTCAGTTCTCAAGCTTTCGTGTAAGTTCTTTGAATTAAAACGAAAACAGGAAATGAACTATTTACCATGTTTACCATGTAAAATACTCTAAATCTTCATTTTCTCTGTACAGCTGTGGAACTAAGGAGATAGTTGCTCAATAATAAAAAGATAGGTTAATTCTTGGAGTCCCAGCATTATACTAGCTACAACTCTAAATAGTGTAGCCACAAATGAGAGCTACTTTGCTTGCCCAGTAATATGTTGTATATTTTCATTATTTTGGAGACCATTATATTTTTAGAGATGAACAGTGCAGATTAGCTGGCAGTGTATTCCTATATGTTTGTGTGACAGAAAGACAGACAGGGAAAGAATGGGAATATTAATTTCACTGAGAATAAAGTTGGAGCTATTTACAGTGTTCTAAATGATACAAAGTACAATATCATTTTAATGCAGTTTAATACTAAGCATAACCTGGTTTGCACAATAACAATATCCCATGCTGAACAAACCATGGATTGTTGGAAATGCAGCGGAGGCAGGGATACTAGCTGCCACATGAATATAGACTTCCATTGTGATGAACAACTCAGGGATTATTATTATTATTATTATTATTTCTATGCCGCCCCTTGCCGAAGCCTTGGGGCGGCTTACAACACAATAAAATACATCGAAATACAATAGAACATAATAAATTACCATTAAATACAAAAATACAAAAAATACACTGAGTTTCAAACATAATAATATAAAATTAAAAATAACAGTATAAAATAAGTAAATAAATAATATAGGAGGAGAAAAGAGAAGGAAGAAGAAGTTGCCCTGGCCAGATCATATATTTTAACAATTAAAATGATGACCTGTCCCTGAGTTGTTTAAATGAACCCAGAACTCTGGGTTGTTTGGGGAACCTTGTTCGTCCCTTGACAGTTCAGAATTCTGGTTTGGATATCAAGGTAAATACCTAGGGGAAGCCTGTATCCAGCTTGCTTATTGCAGCTGAAGTAGGCAGACATGTAGAACATGCACAAGCACTTACCTTGCTTCATTACCAAAAACTGTCATTACCAACCAAGTCATTGTGTGGTGGGTCTCTAATTTGACAAGACAGGCCAAAAATAATGTAATAATTATGGAAAAGCTACACAAGCTTTTTTAAAAAATCAAGGTTTCATGTAAGTAAAGTGCAGCCTCAAATATGCAGTTTTGATGTGCATGATTGTGTTGAAGAAAGGGAACTTTAATGTTCCTGTTTTGAAATCACAAACACTTTTCTCTTTAAAATACTACAGCTCTTCTTAGACTAGCTCTTCTTAGTCTGACAACAAACTGATCTTGATTGCCTCCATGGAAATAACTTGAAAATAAGTTGGACAAGGGAATTGAATAAGAGCTGCATAGATATGCAGAGTGATACTTTTCAGAATGTTGTACTCTCAGAAAGCAATGCAGCATGCATTCAGCCATGTAGAAAAGATTTCCCTTCCATTCTGTATTGTGTGTTACTGTTTTTCCAAATTCTCTAAAGCTGATATTTAGTACAGGATATGGGCAGATGGAAGAAAGCTGAAGGATTGCCAGAGTACTCGAAATATAAATGTAGATAAGTGCAATTGGCTTTCTTTGTGTGAACGAAACTGGGTGCATCAGAGTTAAATTATGTTCACATATTGGTAATTCTTGCACATCCACACTTGCACAAACTGAACTGAAAGGCATGGTTACTTTTGCATGTCACAGTGTCCCAAGTGATCAAGAGTTCCATTGGCCATTTGGTGCCAGCAGAACTCCACAAGGCTTTCACTTGTGGAAGCCAGATAAGCTAAACAGCCAATGGGTGCAAATGTCTACAGTTTGGCTTTCAGTGATCTGGTTCAAATGTAACCCCAAACCATGGTTTGGTGCTTCATAAATTAGCCTGTAACTTTTCCTGAAGTCTCCTTGCCTTATATGTCACAATTACCTCCCTCCTTTCCTATTACTGTTGCAAGCTCTAGTTTGCTGTTTTATTTGTCCTGGAAAATAGGATCATACCATTATTTTCATTACCTTATGTTTAAATGGACTGATTTCTGCCTAGACAAAATGGCAGACCATGGTTTGACAAAAGCAGGGACAAAGGGAGTTGCAGCAAGTGATAGGAAAGAAAGCATGTGAACTTGAAGGTCTTTTAAAGCCTGGATGACTCATATTGTATAGCCCCTGTACCTGCCCCTGCCTAATCTTGGAAGCTAAGCAGGTCAGGCCTGGTTGAAATCTGGATGGGTGCCATAAAATGTTGTGAACAATCTAGACAGCTTCAGCTATAGGTGGCAATGTAATAAGAATATCATAGCTATCTGCTTTCCTCCTCCATGTGTGGAAACTGGGGAACCACAGAGGGCTAAATCTGGCCTATAGGCCTGAGGTTCAACACCCTTACTGTATATAAATAATAGTAACTCCAAGGATGTTTCTTCTCTAGTTCATAAATGAATAACCTTTGGGTTTTTTGCTCCTTCTAGTTCCGGGATTATTGCGCTATTTGCTTACGATGGGAATGGCCAGGCTTTCCTAAACCTTTGGAAAAGTGCAATTTAGAAACTGCATTCTTTGAAGGATATTTCCTGAAAGTTCTGTTTGATAGGATGGGCAGAATACTTGATCAGGTAGGTCTGCAGTTCTGTATGCTTATTCTACTGGTTTGGTGGGTTCTTCACATGATCACATCATTTTTTCTGTCAATCAAATCCATAGCCAGATTGCTTCATCTGTTGCAAAGGAACATCCAGTGAAAAATGTAATTTCTGCATACCTAGAGGACATTGTGGGTATGCATGAAAACATATTTAAGGGAAACCCACTCCTCCAAATGAGAATGTTAAAGGATGTCTTTGTCAAATAATCCTAAAAGAAGTAAGAGAGAAATACAAATGCTCAATGTGTGAGATGGCCATTAAGCTGATGGGAATCAAGGAGTCTGCCTCATAATTCTCTTCAGCCCATTCTCTAACACGGGAGAAGGAGTGGGGTGGATCTTAATTTCATAAGCTGTTAGATAGATCTGCTTCTACAGCTTAAAGGGTCATGCTCAGAAGTTAATTAGGATCTGAGAGAAAAGTGCTTCCTCCAGCCTAAATGATCCCTTAAAAAAATAAGAACACTATTTATCTGAGAACCATGTGTAAGTGTAAGCATCCTACTTGAAGGATAAGGGGATAGTTTGTTTTTCTATTCTACTTGTTTTTCAGTGAAAGCACTAAAGCATACAAATCAAAAGCCCATTTGAAAAGGCAAATGTATGTTGTAGCCCTGTAATAATTGTTTATCAGGATAAAATGAATAAATAGGTTTGCTCTCATTTCTAAACACCTTTCTGGTGTTATGTTTCCTTGCTGGTGATTTGAAATTGGCCACAGATGAACTTCTTTGGAACACAAGAATGCATAGCAGAGAAGAGGCTTTTTCAGCAGTGCATTACAGGCCCAATATATATTTATATATGTATTTCCATAACATATATATAGTACATAGAAGTATTTACAGATGTACATAATTATGACAAAATAGCCATGTTAAAAGAATGCTTGAGTGTATGCAGCTATGCTGGTAAATCTACATTTTTAAACATGAGTCTGTTGTGTGCAAAATGGGGGATACAGTGTCAAGTACAAAAGTGCATACATACAGTGAATGCTTAATGTAACACCAATCCTCTCTCCCTTCAGCTGCATGCCCACCCCTCACCCCCAGCCTGGCTGTGGGGAGAATGGTTGCAGTGCTGGTGTTCACAACTATTGTCCTCTGCCTGACTACCCTTTTCTGCATTTTAAGTCAGATGCCCCGCCCACCAGTGGTAGAGTGTATGCTTTGGATGCAAAGGTCTTTAAAAGGACGCAGGTCATCCCTAAACTGTGGAATGGCCTGCCAGGAAAGATACTTCAATACCATTGACCACAGTATCCTTCTGTATTATCTGAGAGAGTTGGGAATTGAAGGCACTGCCTTGCAGTGGTTCCGTTCCTCCCTCTCAGGTGAGTTCCAAATGGTGATGCTTGGACACTGTTGCTGCTCCCAGGAGGAGCTGACTTGTGGGTTTCCACAGGGCTCCATTCTGTCTCCAGTGCTGTTTAACATCTACATGAAACTGCTGGGAGAGATCATCCAGAGCAGTAGCACTGGGTGTTATCAATATGGTGATGGGACCCATATCTGATGTGACTTCTTCTGGGAGTAATATTCTGAAGTTTGCTTCTGCAAAATTAATGTCGACTACCCAGATGACTTTGTCAGAGATTCTTTCTAAACTATGGAATGGCTTGCCAGGAGAAACATATCAGATATCCTTGCTACCTTCAAGAGGGAGTTAAAAATGTATCTCTTCCATCAGGCCTTTCCAGATAAGTTCCCAGATTAGTTTTGTGCTTGTTTATAGTTAACATTTTAATTATTGCTCATTTTAATCTCTTGTAAACTGCCCACAGTGTATGGGAATGGGGTGTTATATAAAAATAAATAATTACCCCAGATATCTTCAAGAAGAAGTTAAAGAGAGTTCCCTTCCAACAGGCCTTCTGAGATTAACTTTATTTAAAATGCTTGTTTTTGGGTACACATTTGAATTATTTGTTTCGATTTCTTGTAAACAGCTCAGACCTTGTTTGAATAGGTGGTATATAAAAATCAGACTAAATAATAGTGGCATACCCTTTTATATGATCAAGGAAAAAGGGACCAAAACTCAGTAGAAGAGCAAAAATGTTGACTGCCCTCTACTCCCATGCTTGAAATGGCATACAAGGGGACATAACAGTTGTTTTAACAGGACTGATTTAGGAATTGTTTTAGTTGTTTGGACTGTTTTAAATTTTCTATATTAGAATTTTGTGATATTTTATTGTATTTGTAAATTTATTACATAATGTGTTATATATTAATGTGAATTGCCTAGAGAGCTTCACATATTGGGCAGTATAGAGACTGATAGAAGTCTGACTTTCATCTCAGTGTTCTTATGGTGAAGGAAACTGACACTGTTTTCTCTCCAGTTCCCTTCTTGTTTCTAAATATTTAGAAGAAAAAATATACAATTGAAGTGGCCTCTGTTAAATACCAATTCTGCACATACCTCATTTAAAAGCAAGATGGAATTTGAGACTTAAATCCAACTCAACAGCTTTAGGAAAACTAATCTTCACATCCATGAAAATGTTATCCCAATCATTAAAAAAGAAAGAAAAACAGAAATTTCTTACCTAAAGATTGTCAGCAGAATGAGTATCAAGTAGAGTTGCACGTTCTTTTTAAGTCTGTGAGTTATTGTGACATAATGTCAATTTGATATAGTACCTGTTAGCATGACATTTCTGGGACAGTCAAGGATGTTGCTATTCTCCCTCCTGTATCAAGGGCAATACTCAATGCACAGTATGAATATCCTCCAAAATGTGTTAGGTGTGAGCCAGAACTATTTTTTCCCGTAAGGGATAAATTGCTCTAAAATGCTAATATAAGTCAGAAATGAAAAACTTGGTCCATTCAGATTGGATTAAAATGACAAAGCTGATATCAGAGTCGCTAGCTTGACTATTATATACATAAAGCTGTTGATATGATTGAATACAATTCTACTATCAAAGACTTAATTTCTGTGTAGACTTCATTAATCCTGCATGGCATGTTTTTGATTTGTACCAATTCAGCCTCTCTTGCTCTTCTTCCATTATGTATAGAGAGACTTTTGAATTCGGAACATAAAACTTTAGATTATACAATTATGTAAATTAAATGAATTGCCATAAAGCTTCTTAAGTTTGCAGAAACTCAGTCACAGGCATTTCCTATTATTCTTTTAATAAGCATTGCTGTGATTTAGTTCTAGACTCTGTGAATCCTTTTGGAGTTCTCTTAGTTTTCTTAAAGACTACTAAAGACCCTTGAAGGATCAGCAGAAGAATGTGAGGGAGAGAACTTAAAATTCAAGGCCAGCTTATAAAAGGAGTTGCACATTAGGAAAATGGGTTTGGTTCAATTGCCAAGATTTCAAAGGGCTTGTCCTGAGATCACCTTTCCCCTACTTCTGGATTATAGTGGTAAAACAGTGAACAAGGCTGTGAAGTAGAAACTGAAAGACACATCACACGCTCTTGGCTGAACATGACCTGCCATTTGAATTGCAAGAATCACCATGGAGATCACCTTAACTGTTTGGGTTGCAGATGCCAGGCATGCTGAATTGGCATGGCTGGCACACAGCTAACCCTCGGTTTGGAAAGAGTCTGAACAAGTACCACAACTCAACCATTGCACACCTGCCACTGCCATCTCCTTTATGCTTTCAGTTGCAGTAATATTTTTCACATCATTGCCATGCTTCCATTTTCCTCTGTTTAAAACAATTATTTATCCAAAAGCAATTAACTTTCCTTGAGTTATGTAATGAACTTTCAGATTTGTGAATGGCCTTCTGTTGTGGTTAGTATGTCAGGGCATTCAAAACAATGTGTCTTTGTATCTAATAGCTATTCCAGTTGTCAGTTTTGCATAGGGGAAAACCCAAAGGTCGTAATGTTGCATTGAAATCCAGCTATATTTTATAATAAGCATGAACATCTGGGGAACATTTACATTTGCTTTTTTCTCTCTTACAGCCATATGATGTCAATTTGCAAGTCACATCTGTATTGTCCAAGCTCTCCTTGTTTCCCCATCCACACATCCATGAATACCTTCTGGATCCCTATGTAAATCTGGCTTCTGGCTGCCGATCTCTTTTTTCAGTCATTGTCAGAGTGAGTAAAAAAAGAGCATGATAATTAGACAACGCCACAAAATATAGAACTGTGCATATTGTTACTGCACAACAAATAAATGCCAGGCTACTTGCTTCTACTTTCTTGTGGGCCATCTTTTCTTTAAAGCATCTCTTCATCCACTAGATATGACAGGTACTAGTCAGATGCTGTCCTGTAGCACACAGTATGCAAGAAGACTGATACAATAGATAGTAAATTCACAGTACAGTCCTACACATGTTGATTCACAAGTACGTCCCATTGAGATCAATGAGGCTTACTCAAAGGTGAATGAGTACAGGATTGCAGCCAGAGTCTTCATATTATGCTACATTTCTCTGCACAGTTGCAGATACTCTAGAAAAAATAGCATTTATAAACCTTGATGTAGGAAATGGCATATACATTGAAATACTTGTAGGGTAACACATCTGTGTTAACTCCAGCAAGTTTACAGCTTGGCTGTGCTCAGATGGCACACTAAGCTATGGCTTAGCATAACACGAACAAGCCTAGCTTCCTTTCTGGCTTGCGGCAGACTGCTCTTCCCTTTTCTTTTTCCTGAATGGCAGTGAGTATAACTTCAGCAGCTTTTACTTTAAATTTTGTTTGAATGCAGTTTCTGTTTTACATTGTCCAGATTGGGATCATAGTTTATCACTGATTGTGACCAGTTTCAGTAAGCCAGCTTCATTATCCCTGGTTTGAAGTTGGTTGCTTGTTCAGCGACTGATCATAGTGATAAGCCATCAGTTCAGACAATGTGACAAGCTGCATTTAAGGGAAACTGAAGGTAAAGGTGTCTGCAATTCTCCTGGCTGCACAGCAGGAGGAAAGGGGGCAGGTGAATTATGCAAAATGAAAACTCATTTATTGCTAAGCTATAACTTAGGAGAAATGTCTGAGTGTGGTATGTGGTCACTGAGTGGCTGCTGTACATCTCCAGTTAGAAAAAATGTAACATATTAAGTAATCATAAGACTTTCTGACAGTATTAGATGGTGAACTGGGAGCTAGTAACACTGAATAGTGATCAGTACCCTTGCTTTTACTATCCGGCTTTTTTTTATTTCATTTAGTGCTATTATGTATACCATGCAGGTTGTTGGGGATCTCATGGTGAGGATTCAGCGCATACCTGATTTCACTCCCAAACTTCTACTAGTCAGAAAACGTCTCCTTGGCCTGGAACCTGAAGGGCCCATGTAAGTCTATTATGTACCAGTCCATTACAGATGTTACCAAGAGACAGTGTGTGTCTGTTTGTTAATTCCTCATCTTTTTTTCACAGTGTTGACCACATGACATTACTAGAAGGTGTGATTGTATTAGAAGAGTTTTGTAAAGAGCTGGCTGCAATCGCCTTTGTGAAATACCATGCCTCATCCACACCATAAACAGCTAATTTGACTGTCCAAACTGCAAGATTTTCTCCTGTTTCGATCAGAAGGACTGCTAACTCATCCCAGGCAAGAAAGGAAAAAGCATTGGCATACATTTGAAGGACTCATAATGGGACAAATTCAAATTGTAGTGTTGGTTTCTCATTTGTTGGCAGTCTCCATATGGAAATGGAAAATGGGTTTTTTACCCACAATCTATTAAAGGGATATTGGCAGAGCAGAATAAGCTCAAAGAGCTACACATGTCAGGACCTTAGTTAAATTCCCTTGTTTTAATGACCTTCTAGGAAGGAGGAACTTTTATATACTTTAGGTTTCATAGGCTTTTTAAAAAGTTGTTTGTCTCATAGCTGAGGTTTTATCCCTTTAAATAAAACCATCCAGTGATTAAGGCATTCTAAAGTATTTAATACCATGTAGAAAAGAAAGAGGCTGCAGATGCACCCACAGCTTAAAATGGTATCAGTTTCTTTGTATATATTTAATGTTGTCTGAGTCCTTTATCATTATCAGTTCCATTTTATCAGATGCACTAGAACAAATGGTGACAACATATACTCAAGTGCTGGCTTTCTTTGAATTCTTGCTTATCTTGTTATACTGCATAATTTTATTGGCCTTCCATTTTGAATTGAAGCCCTAGATTATTTATCCAAATATCCATTTATAAGAATATTAGAGTTTTAAAGATTTTTCTATGATCAATTGGCCGAAGAGAATCTTGTGCCTTGATGATTAGCAGTATCAGTGTTTTGTGCTTTTAAATACATTATTGCTTAGCTCATTTGAATGGCTATAGCATCCAGGCCAGAGGATAGCTGATACAGCTTTTTGCGGATGCCATTTTTAATAGTCTGTATGGATTTAAATTCTTTGCAGGCTGTTGCATGCCATTGGTTGCAAGCTTGCAGTCTTATTGTTTGCAACAGGTATCCCTTATAAGCCAAGAAGAAAACAAGATCCCTTTATTTTGCTGTTGTCAGCCATGAAGTAGATTAGCATGCCAGACAATCTAGGGTAGATGTAAGGTGAGGAGACAGCTGTCTCTCCCTTTCTTTCCCTTACTCATCTCTGCCAGTTCCTCAGAGTCTGAAAGCTCCAATTAAGTATGCCATCTATCCTGAGTTGCATCTATTATCTGTATATTCTTTTTGCACACAGTAGGAAAAAGGAAGGACACATAAGTTCACATAGTAGGAAAAAGCCCCCTTCATACCAGTTTGCCACTATTAGCAAAACACTATGGAAGCAAAACTCCACAGAATTCAGCTTCTAAATATATTTGTTATTTATCTCATTCGTGGGCATTTAGTGTAATTGTACAATCCTTTCTTAACTTTTTATACACTTGCAATGTACTTCCAGTTTATTCGTTGAATTTTGCACCAGCAATTTGCACTTGGTTTGTATTATAACAAAGTGAAAAACATTTGCATACTTGCTGTGCTCAGATTCTGTGGAAACATGCTAAACATGAAGGCAGTGTTTTGGAAAATAGGACAGTGTGATCTGAGATAGCTTACATATGTAGGCCTGCATTGGGAAGATTCAAGCAATGTTAATGGCTATGGAGCAAAATATAAGGCTGCCTTTATTACAAGGAAAGGCATGGCTTTCTTACAGCCTGACTGCAGAATCCTGGAATCATCTGAAACCTGATAATCAAAATGCCATCCCCTGTAATAGAAAATTACACAGTTACTGAATTTAGTTCGCAAATAAACTGACAAAAATAAGTTTAACAGACGCCTGGCATCTTCTTTCCAGCATCAGACAGATATTAAGAAAGAAGAAAATTATACATCTTTTTGGAATCAGGCCATTACATAAGCTTTTTTAGATGTTAAGAAATGCAGGTAGCATAGGTTGTATAATCAGATAAATAAATTGTGCATTATATACACATGTGTTCATCTAGGTCTCTTCAGTGCAATGGAACTTGAGCAAATCAACCACATGCTTAAATTCAGAGTAAAATTCTTAAGACTTAGGCACATAGACAAATTAAATGCTTGAGTTCGATATGCATTCTTGATTTTGAAACAGAATGAAATATACAGCCAGTGTATTCTCCCCAAAAATAATCCTTTCAGAGTCCCATAGGAGACTAATATTTCTCCAACAGTACCTTGAAATAGATTGCAGCCTTACATTTTGCTATTCAAAGTATAGAGAGATTTATCTCCTAAGCGATCTATAATTTATTAGAACCTCCTAATTCAATGGTAAAGTTATTCAAACTTAGGTTGGATTGAATTTTAACATTTAGGAGGGGTAATTGTAAGGAACATATATGTTATTTCAAGCAGAATACCTTAACATTAGGATTCTGTTTGCTTTTAAAAACACCCAAAATCCAAGCCTGACTGCATATCCCAGTATGTCAAAGAAGTCCTTTAAATGTTCTTATGTTCAAGAACTTGCTCAGCTTGCCAGTAAACCTGTGATGTCATTTCAAGACGCCAGCTTTGTTCTATGTTTTTATGACACAGAAATCTTTGTCACAGAAATCACATAGTATGTGTCAAAAAGCTAGAAAAAGATTTAAACATTTTTCTTGGCATGAGAATTGTTTTTATAAACTCATAAATAATAGCAGCAGCCTTTTACTTTTGTAAGGATTGAATTTTGCCTCCAAAATGGAACTTGCATAATTTTATATCCTTTCATTTTTCATGCACTTTTTGTTTTAAAGGCTACTTGGGTCCTTGGTGGAATTGTTTGAGTTAATTGATTCCATGCATGTCATAATCACCCCCATTCTGACTTGCGTGTGCCTGTGTGTGTGTGCATGGATGGATGGATCTTATTTATTACCCTTCAGTAAACATAGAACATACAATCTGTTCTCCAGAATTATTGAATGACCACCAGTTGTAAAAATGGTAGTGGGTACTTGGTAGCATTACAGATGCAACAAACAGTGTTTATATATGTGAGTGGATGAGGAAAGCTGGAATTGTTTGATTCCAGGACATCGACCCAACTTTAATTTTTACCCTAATGCACATTTATGTAAATAAAGGCACCTTTTCAACTTTCTACTATCTGTTATATCAGTTTAGTTTCTGATGTTGGGACTGTTGTAATAATGACATGAGACATAAAGTAGAATAGCCAATTCTCATTATTTTTCTGCTTTGTTTTAGCAGTAATTGTCATATCTAGTATTCTGATCTTCTCTCTGTAGCATTCTGATATTATAATGTATTCCTCAGTGCAATATCAAAGCTGTGATACAAAGCACAGCTTCAGCCTGGTTGTACATTGCCTGTTTACATGTGTGTATTTGTATACTAATGGACTGAAACCCAGCACTTGCTTGCAGTATTGCCAGGGCAAAGATCCTAACACTAGATCCTACAGGGCACAGTAATCGTGGTATTCCTTTCTATGACAGCTTCTCCCCATGAGTTGCTAGTTGCAACAGAGCTTTGTCTCATAAAATGACATCCTCATTTAACTGGACCAGAGAAAGACTGAAATCCAGTGCAAAAGCTACACATTCAGTATTCTCTATTATATGAACAATTAAGATTAACATCTCTTACTAAACACAGCTGCATAACTAAGATCAATAATCTCTGTGCCCAGTTATCTAGTGCTACAAGGTCTTTCTTGCTATATAGATTTTGTTTTTCCCCCTTGCCTTGTTTACATTAAACAGATGATGTTCAGCGGATCTGTCCTACTGAGCTTTGTGTAGTTGCTGACAATGTATGCCAAGGTGTAATAGACCCCCCATGAGGAATGGATGGAATAGCCATATCAAGAACTTGTGTCAACAGATTCAGTTCAGACATTTCTGTGGTTGAAAAGCACGCACGAAGGATTAAAAGGGATATTCTTAAAAATAAATTAATATAATTTAAATGAAGTGACTGCTTATCTTTGCAGATGTCTGTGCCTTTTAAAGAGAACTTCAGTTGTTTGACAATATAGAAATAAAATAATGATAATGTCAGTAATCCAAGCAGATGGACAAAGTAATTTCCATCTATGTAGAAGCTTTGCCTCATCACATTCCCAGCCAAAGGTCCTCAGGGTTAGCATTGTTTGGTGACCCATCCGCAACAAATAAATACAATAGGGTGTTTAAAGAGAGCACAATAAGGTGTTGAGGGAAAGCAAATTACTGTTAAATGATCCTGGACCTGCTCCAAAACTTGTTATTGTGTGCCTGTTGGGCATCAGGGATACGTGGAGTCAGCCAGCCAATGAGTGTCTCACTCATTTAAAGCATGAGTAACAAAGCTCTCCTGTATTTTAGGAAGCTGCAGCAGCTGTACACATCTTCATAGAATGTTGGAGAATGGATGCTTAAACTGAATGTTGGAGAATGAATACTTAAATCAATAAGGCAAAATGTAAAAAAATCTGCTATCATTAAATCAGACTAAATGTGTGCCTCGTTATATATCTGTCATTAAAGTGTTTTCCAGATAACTGCAGCATGCATGGTGATACTGACATTTGCCAGTGTGTTGGGTTTTGTAACAGTAACTTAGTATGTCATCACACATAGTTCTTTTACAGTATCACTTCATTTAAAAAGTCTTTGCGGAATCAGACAATTCTTGTGAAGCAGATCAGTGCTGTATTCTAAGGAACCCAGGCTTAACAACAATTGAATTTGGATGTTCTTCTGAAGTATCAGAGCACTTACTGCTTAACTGTATTCTGTGCAGCAGTGGTACGCAGCTGTTTTACCCTTGAAGGTTACATTCCCGTGAGCTAATTATCAGGCAGTACATGGGCAGGCCTAGAACGGAGGGGTGAGGCCAAGGTCCTCCTGTCCCCTCTGTTCTACACATAGCCAACCATACTACATTGCCTCTCTCCCACTACCCTAAAATTGAACTCTTCCCCCTTCTGAATCCACAGAAGAAAACTCCTCAACCCAGAAACTATAGTTGTTGTTTGGTCATGCCCGACCCATCATGACCCCATGGCCAACATTCCCCTAGGCTCTCCTGTCCTCCTCCATCCCCCAGAGTCCACCTAAACTCACACTGACTGCTTCAGTGACTCTTATCTAACCACCTCATCCTCTGCTGTCCCCTTCTTCTTTTGCCGTCAATTGTACCCAGCATCAGGGTCTTCTCCAGTGAGTTGTTCCTTCTCATTAGGTGGCCAAGTATTTGAGTTTCATCTTCAGTATCTGGCCTTCTAAAGAGCAGTCAGGGTTGATCTCCTCTAGGACTGACTGGTTTGATCTCCCCAGAACTATTAAGCTTATTCTAATTTTATTGTCATTTTTTCACATATTATTTTTTCTGAATTTTTAAATAGTGGTTACAAGTTGAACCATGCCACTAGGGAAGGAGCAGAAACTGATGTGCCATGTTCCAAACAACTCCAGTGCTGGAGAGTCAAACTTAACAGCACTTCATTTTACACCTATCTTCTATAGTTTGAGTGTCCCATGCCTGTAAGGTATACTTATTTCTTTTCCTTTACAATTTATTTTTCTAGTAGTTATAATTTTTCCTCAATGACTTTAATGTGTTAGCATGTTAAATGTGGACTATGAAATGAGTACATGGCTCCTACTGCCTTAAGTGCTATATAGGTTAAGTCAGAAAAAAGTTTTCAACAGCCATGCTTTCCAGGATAAGCTAGAATATGTAAGACTTCAATTACATTTTCAATTACTTAGCTGTGAGCCGTTTGAAGATTGAAGTGTTTGAGTCATGGAACCTTCTCCTGTTTGGCCTTTTATGCTGTTTTACACTTTCATTAGGTGTTTTATGGCCAATGAATTTTAACATGTGGCTTATCCCCACCTCTGGTTATAAACTGCCCTGAAAACTTTGTTATGGGATGGCCTATAAACAAAGAAAATAACAAACTGGCTGTGAAAGCTGCTTCAGGCTTCCTAAAGGAAGCTGTACCTGCTAAATAAATTGGAGGCAGGGAACAGTTAGAGTAATGAACAATATTCCAAGTCTTATTCTGTGATAAACATTAGGTAACCTCCCAACAGGCAGCAGACTACAGATATAACCCTGATGTCTGTGAGAAAACTGGGGAGTTAGTAATCTTAGAGCACAATCAGGTGTATTAATTCAAAATAAGTCTCACTATAGTTAGCGGGGCTTACCTCCAGGAAAGCGAGCACAAGTCTCCACAAATAGGTAAAGATTCTCTGGAGGTTACTGCTCATTAAAGAATGTGAACTATTCAAGCCAGGCAATTCTGCAGAAATGAGATAAGATGTAGGATATTAGAAATGTAGGACAAAATAGGAGACAAGCCCCTCTCAGCATGTTGAGAATACAGGATTCATGTACATGAGGACTGGATTTTCCCCCCTTCAGGAGCTCTCTGAGCTGAAATGCAAAGCAGAATTATATTATCTTAGCCAAACCTCATGAATCAGCTTCCTTTTGAAAGCTGATAGTCGAAATGGATTCCTAGTCCTTGTGAAATAGGTCCCACACCAGCCAATTATTTCCAACTTTTCTTGCTAAGCCCAGCAGATAATAAGTCAAGGAGATCAATGTGAGATTATTGCACTTTGCCTTCACTTTTTTCAGAGTGAGATTGTTAACACTTTGATTAATGTCTAATTGTTGGACATCCTGTAATGCAATCTGTCAAAGAAGTTTTGGGGAGACTCGTGTTTGAAAGCTGATTTTGTGGTATTGACAATAACCTTTCAATAAGGAGTTAATACATGCTTATAATAGAGGCAAAGATGATCTTTTGTATTTAATTACATGGGAAAAGGTTGCAACACTGGTGCAAGCAAGAACTGGGAACTGTACTGAGTTTCCATTTCTGCTTTAGGATTTTATTTCATGGGTTTTTTCCTATTTGCTTTAATTCCCACAGTATTAAGTACAGTATATCACAGAAGTGAGTACACCCCTCACATTTTTTAAATATTATATCTTTTCATGTGACAACCCTGAAGAAATGACACTTTGCTACAATGTAAAGTAGTGAGTATACAGCTTGTATATCAATGTAAATTTGCTGTCCCCTCAAAATAACTCAACACACAGCCATTAATGTCTAAACCGCTGGTAACAAAAGTGAGTACACCCCTAAGTGAAAATGTCCAAATTGGGCATTATTAGCCATTTTCCCTCCCCGGTGTCATGTGACTCGTTAGTGTTACAAGGTCTCAGGTGTGAATGGGGAGCAGGTGTGTTAAATTTGGTGTTATCGCTCTCACTCTCTCACACTGGTCACTGGAAGTTCAACATGGCACCTCATGGCAAAGAACTCTCTGAGGATCTGAAAAAAAGAACTGCTGCTCTACATAAAGATGGCCTAGGCTATAAGAAGATTGCAAAGACCCTGAAACTGAGCTGCAGCACGGTGGCCAAGACCATACAGCAGTTTAACAGGACAGGTTCCACTCAGAACAGGCCTCGCCATGGTTGACGAAAGAAGTTGAGTGCACATGCTCAGCGTCATATCCAGAGGGTGGCTTTGGGAAATAGACGTATGAGTGCTGCCAGCATTGCTGCAGAGGTTGAAGGGGTGGTGGGTCAGCCTGTCAGTGCTCGGACCATATGCCACACACTGCATCAAATTGGTCTGCAGGGCTGTCGTCCCAAAAGGAAGCCTCTTCTAAAGATGATGCACAAGAAAGCCCGCAAACAATTTGCTGAAGACAAGCAGACTAAGGACATGGATTAGTGGAACCATGTCCTGTGGTCTGATGAGACCAAGATAAACTTATTTGGTTCAGATGGTGTCAAGCGTGTGTGGTGACAACCAGGTGAGGAGTACAAAGACAAGTGTGTCTTGCCTACAGTCAAGCATGGTGGTGGGAGTGTCATGGTCTGGGGCTGCATGAGTGCTGTCGGCACTGGGGAGCTACAGTTCATTGAGGGAACCATGAATGCCAACATGTACTGTGACATACTGAAGCAGAGCATGATCCCATTCCTTCAGAGACTGGGCCGCAGGGCAGTCTTCCAACATGATAACGACCCCAAACACACCTTCAAGACGACCACTGCCTTGCTAAAGGAGCTGAGGGTAAAGGTGATGGACTGGCCAAGCATGTCTCCAGACCTAAACCCTATTGAGCATTGGTGGGGCATCCTGAAACGGAAGGTGGAGGAGCGCAAGGTCTCTAACATCCACCAGCTCTGTGATGTTGTCATGGAGGAGTGGAAGAGGACTCCAGTGCAACCTGTGAAGCTCTGGTGAACTCCATGCACAAGAGGGTTAAGGCAGTGCTGGAAAATAATGGTGGCCACACAAAATATTGACACTTTGGGCCCAATTTGGACAGTTTCACTTAGGGGTGTACTCACTTTTGTTGCCAGCGGTTTAGACATTAATGGCTGTGTGTTGAGTTATTTTGAGGGGACAGCAAATTTACACTGATATACAAGCTGTATACTCACTACATTGTAGCAAAGTGTCATTTCTTCAGGGTTGTCACATGAAAAGATATAATAAAATATTTACAAAATGTGAGGGGTGTACTCACTTCTGTGATATACTGTACTTTAACGGGGATTCGACTGAAATACCCAGGTAGAGAAAAATGGTGTGAAAGCAAGAGGCACTGCTAGCCCTAAAGAAGAAACAGTCTGTCAAGCACCCACTGACTGCTCACAGCCTCTCAGGCTGTTCCGCATAATATCTACAGCCAGCTCTCAAAACAGAGACATGCCCACTTTTATTCCAGAATTAAATTTATATTTTCATTATCTGTGTTTCTTTTCATGGGAATACTGCTGTTCTCGGGAGGACTCTACCACTAGTGCTAAAACACTGTGCAGCATGCAGAGGCTAAGCATTTCAGTTTTACATGGCACATGTCTTCAAAACTGGAGGGTGGGAAATATATCCTTTTCTTCTGCCTCTGACCTCCATCACCTTTGCCCTGCTCTTTCTTGCAAAATGGTATGTCCCAATTTTGACCATGATTTTAAACTGAGGTCCTCGAAGTGATGCTGGACTACTACTCCTATTATTCTCTGTCAGTGGCTAGGTAAATGGGAATCCCAGTCCAGCAGCATATGGAGGGCCATCTGTTCCCCACCCATTTCAGACAAACTTTCATCAAATTAGGCCAAGATGGAAAATGAAATCTCCATTGGGGGGCAGGGCACCTGGCCAAGAAATAGTATATATCTTTATCTGATTGAAAAGTATAGCTTCAAGCAGCTCTTTCAAGGAAGAGAAATCATTAAATCCCTGCAATCAGTTCCAAGCATCCAGTAAAGATGATAAAGCTTCGGTATCCTTTTGTGTGTGTGCATTTACCTCCAGGCACATTGCAACTCATGTTCTCTGCAGGATGAATTCAGATTTCTGCTTCAAAGACCCAGGGACTGAGCAATCTCTGTTTTCAAAGCAGGGGTGGGGAGGGAGATTCGAACTTTCCCCTAAGATTAAATTTTAAACGTGCCCCTTCAAAAACATGGTTCATTACACACTGCAGGGCATTTCTTTTGCTTCATATACCCATT